TACGTCTCTACTCCCTTTAAGCTAAACTCCGTCTCTAGTCCCTTTAAGCTATACTAATTACGTCTCTAGTCCCTTTAAGCTAAACTCCGTCTATAGTCCCTTTAAGCTAAACTCCGTCTCTAGTCCCTTTCAGCTAAACTCCGTCTCTAGTCCCTTTAAGCTAAACTCCGTCTCTAGTCCCTTTAAGCTAAACTCCGTCTCTAGTCCCTTTCAGCTAAACTAATTATGACTCTAGTCCCTTTAAGCCATACTAATTATGTCTGTAGTCCCTTTAACCTAAACTCCGTCTCTAGTCCCTTTAAGCTAAACTAATTATGTCTCTAGTCCCTTTAACCTAAACTCCGTCTCTAGTCCCTTTAAGCTAAACTAATTTTTTGAATGTCTTAAATTGCTAAATTATTCTACAAGTTGTTTAAAAAATTATCCACAATTTGTTCTGGCTTTGTCAGTTTTTCACTTGCACATTATAAAATTCCTTGCAATTAAAAATGTCCGACATTTTAAATTATTCGCATACGGTTCTTAACCATTTTGGCAGGGTATGTATAGGTTGCAGTTAATTTTGCATAGATAGTGCATTAACATTATTATTATTCAGGGAAATAACATAGGAAAAAAAATAAAAATATTTTCAATAGAGTTTAAAAATTAAGATATATTTTCGAATTAACATGGTGTTCAGCAGACCCAGTTTAGTGCAGTTTTAAAATCCCTAGACACCTACCTAGCTTCTTATAACTACAGGCTGTCTCAATAAATATGGGAATTAATCAAGACGCTCCTTGAAAATCGTTATTATATTCTGCAGTGCTTAGAATCCGGAGACGTACCAAACCTACAAAATACCACACCAAACATACTAATTACCATACCAAACATACAAAATACCATACCAAACCTACTAAATACCATACCAAACATACTAATTACCATACCAAACATACTAAAAACCATACCAAACCTACTAAATACCATACCAAACCTACAAAATACCATACCAAACATACTAATTACCATACCAAACATACTAATAACCATACCAAACATACTAAATACCATACCAAACATACTAAATACCATACCAAACATACTAGATACCATACCAAATCTACTAAAAATGTACTTTTTGTTCACACAGTGACACAAATCTCAACTGTTTACTAATGAACCATTATTAAAACTTCAGTACATATCTCTGAATGCTTCAGCATAAAAATAAACGAAAAAAAGAAAAAAAAGGAAAAAATGTTTTCAGTAGATTTTAAAGAAATATTCATGACCAAAACTTGAATAAAATTTCGTCTACCACTGAATTAAAACTGTATTCGCGATATGACAATAATAATAAATTAATAACGAAAAGCCGTCATTTAATTTCCAAGTTAATTAGGACACCCTGTTTAGAAGGCTTTGATAACGATTTATACAAAGTACGAATTAGAAAACAATAACAATAATATTGTTCTTGTATCAGTATCCAATATTGTACAGATGGGACACCCTACACACCCTATACACGTCCACAGGGAAGGTTTACGGATGATATTGATGTCACTCAAATAAAACTATACGACAACAAATCAATAAATGTCATAAATGTTGTATGGGGAGGAAATACCTTGAAGTTGTGGGGAAACGTTATCAAAGTGTTCCAGAAAAATGACAGACCACTTTTTGAAATTTCCTGGAGTACGAGGTATCATCTATAAAGTGATACAATGTATATTCCTCCTCAAAAAAGCATAAACTTTTAGTGCGTCTTCTTGCTGCTCTTCTTGCTCTTTTTAGCTCGAATCACGAATAATTTATTATGAATTTTAATAAAATTGTATTCTTTGCATGAAAATTTCTCGTTTAGTGTTGACGTACTTAAATATAGATATACATATATAATTATTATGAGTTGAACCATATGTTTATTGTTTATTGACTGAAGAGGAGCAATCCAAAACAATTTGTATTAATAAATATGTTAACTGAGAATCTGCTCTGATTTATTATTTCATGCTTAAATAATTATATACACATATTTCTTAAACTTATTCTTAATTAAACAATTAACAATACACACACGTACTCTCCTTGAATGTACTCTATATACTAACAGTAAAAATACAGGGTGTCCCAAAAAACATGGGAATTCATTGACGAATTAGATGTCGTCTTTGTTATGAATTAGCATTGTAATACCTAATTTCAAAAACCACAATATTATTATGTCTGCTAGAGTTTATTTTATGAAAAGGGTAAAAGACTGTAAAGATGTGTTTATAATGTCTCCGCAAGATGAACAGTGAATGCGGACAAGTTTACTCTGTTTGAATACTGCAATTTTCTTGTTTTACTAAGTACAAGTGTGTGCATACAAAACATAAGCAAACAAAATGTGAGCATATGCAGACGAAACTCTTACAGATTACAGCTTTCTCAGTAGGTATCACTGTACTAAATCAAAGAATTATTCAAAAAGACGATATCGAATTTGTCACTGAATTCCCATGTTTATTGGGACACCCTGTATTTGAACCCTTATCAGTTCAATATCGAAGCCTTAACTTAACAATTTGTTAACACACAAAATGAATCGCTCTTTAAAAAACAAGAATGCTTTTAAAGATCAACTGCAAATTTATTAATTTTTATGGTTTAAATTGTATGAAAAACATGAACAAATAATATTTTCTATCGTGCATTGTGCAATGATGTTTCTAAATGTCGACTTATGTATTTCCTGAAAATGAAACCACAAAACCTTAATTAGATAGAAGTACAGCTCTCTTCAATAAACTGATCAACCATTAATGGTGAAGACAATTAACGAATACTATTATATATCTACCGTTATATCGTTAATTAACGAATACTATTATATATCTACCGTTATATCGTTAATTAACGAATACTATTATATATCTACCTTTATATCGTTTATTAACGAATACTATTACATATCTACTGTTATATCGTTAATTAACGAATACTATTATATATCTACTGTTATATCGTTAATTAACGAAAACTATTATATATCTACCGTTATATCGTTAATTAACGAATGCTATTATATATCTACTGTTATATTGTAGCAGGAAAATGATGTTTTGATCTTTCCTGCGACTGTAAATAGCATTTTGTTTGTCATTATTTTTACCCTTCGTTCGCACTCAACCAATGCTGAAAGTAAAACAATAAGAAAAGGTGTTGTCAAATTAGAACAAAATCCTGTATAAAAATAAGAACTAAAAAGTAATTCAATTTGCGCCATATACATACATCAGTGAAAATACAGGACTAAGGACTAATAATTGTTTTTATGAACTACTCATAATAAGTAATAAAGTAATAGCTTAAAGCTGTTTTTTAATATAAAAATATAGAAAAAGCGGGGTAAATATTTTCAATCAGAAGATGGACACGTAAATGTTGGATTCACAATATATTCAATAAAGGTTTATATGTTTTATAGAAATTTGATGCTCGAAGATTAATTAAAACGGTGTTGGGACATTTCATAGAAAGGACACTTTTTTAACATTTATATATTGTTCAATTTTTGCCCGGAACTAATATAATATTTCTAGTTAGCTGAGACAAAAACATTGCAAAGCAATATATTTGAGTGCATTTTATCAAAAGTATACGTATCTCAAGCTAACTGATCACATTTTCATTAAATATTTTTACTAACCCAAAACCTAAAATTATCTCTGTCAGTGAAATTACCTATATTTGATAATTCTTCTCTGACTATAAAATAACCTGTCTATGAAAAATCTGCTCCGTTTATTAAAAAGTCAAATCGATGAATTTATTTTTCTATGAAGTTCCATCACCATTCAAGAAATTTTTTTTTTAATAATAATAATCTATCATTTCCCTGTACGTAACAAATAGGGAAAACAAATATTTTCAGTATATGTATGGTTGAAAACTAAGAATAAGAATCAAGATAATAACATGAAGCCAAAATGCGGGGTGTGGAGACAGAATGGCGGGAGGCTTGGTGACGTCACTGAGGCTGGGAGACCGGTTTTGTGGGGCCCGGAGGGAATTCTGCAAATCCTGAGGCTCGGAGGTCATTTTTGCGGGGATCATGGCGCCTCTGCACCCCCTCCCTCGTCCAGACTTTGTGCACCGTCTCCTTCTTCTTTGCTTCAACTCTCAGGGCAGCCAACAATTCAGAATTCCTTCTAATGAGATTTGGATAGTTCCTCTCTGGTTGATTTTTTCATTGGACAGTCGGTAATCTTTTAGAATAGACCACTTGTGCTTGGCAGCATCCAGAGGGTTTAGAGCAGAATAGCTGAATCCTTGGCTCGAATGGGTCTTGATAGAAAACGTAGGATAATGCAAGGAAATTTATTTCAAAGATGTACGCATCTTTTGTACATGCAGTTTACTGTCTCTGGGCGGTAATGTTAACACAAGGCGGATGTCGAAGCCTGACAAGGGATCCATCTTTCACATAAATAATCAATGAAATATTCTGGTCATAGAAAGCTATTATGAGATTTATCAAATTTCAATGCTTTTAACCTCCTCGGATACTTAACGAACACTGAGGCATCTAGTTTTGTTTACAAATTCCGCCCAGAGAGAACTGGTTTCAATATGTACGCAGAGTATACGCAACTGCAATTAACTTTCCTTGCATTTCATTCTTGGGGTTATAAAGTGGTGGACCTGCGTCTTGAGTAGAAAGTAGTTTCGCAGATTTTTTAAAGGGTCAATTAGACAAAACAAAAATTCAAAAAATGTTATACATATTTGTCAAAAATTAAATTACCGATAAAAATGCTTTAATATATGCAAGATCTCGCTATTCACCCTTTAGTTTACTCACCCTGTACTTTTTGATTTTACAATCATAACTGTTTTCCTGAATACTCTTTGAACCAGCGATGGAAGGCTCAAAATATTTATCTTCCAGACCACAAATGACGTCACATAATCTGTTTCGAAGCATGAAAACTTTACAAGAAAAGTATTTACAGTACTTTTTAGAAACCAGAAATAAGAAAAAATTCCAAAAGTGGAATAAGTTTGCCTTTCTGCAAAGTTGATCTTGTGATGGCATTTCTTTGTCCAGAAGATGAGTTAGTGTATTGTCCAGAAGATGAGTTAGTGTATTGTCCAGATGATGAGTTAGTGTGTTGTCCAGATGATGAGTTAGTGTATTGTCCAGAAGATGAGATAGTGTATTGTCCAGAAGATGAGTTAGCGTATTGTCCAGAAGATGAGTTAGTGTGTTGTCCAGATGATGAGTTAGTGTGTTGTCCAGAAGATGAGTTAGTGTGTTGTCCAGATGATGAGTTAGTGTATTGTCCAGAAGATGAGTTAGTGTATTGTCCAGAAGATGAGTTAGTGTATTGTCCAGAAGATGAGTTAGTGTATTGTCCAGAAGATGAGTTAGTGTGTTGTCCAGAAGATGAGTTAGTGTATTGTCCAGAAGATGAGTTAGTGTGATGCACTATCTTTGGAATCATATGCCTTGCTTGCCTTTTTAAAATTTTATATGAAAAGGTTTTACTCAACTAAGTTTTCTTTCAAGAGTTCTCTAATTATTAATCTGAAAAACAACAAATTAATTTATTCAAATGTAATTTCAGTTTTATCAGATTATATAAAATTGATACAAATAAATAATAACACAAAGATATACTTACAATCAATTTATTAAAGAAGGGGTTTCATATTTTGAAAATATTATTTTCCCAGCTTTAAGTATAAACATTTATTTTAAAAAAATTATCAATATTCAAGAGTTAATTTTTCGTGAGTTTAAATCCAGAATTGCAGAGAGAAAAAATGCATTTTTGGAGTTTTTGTCAAACAGTATTCTCCAGTATTAGAGGGGTGTTCACTTTAATAAAAATAAAAACGTAAAATAATCAAAACCAGGAATATCTATTTCATACAGTGAAACCCTTAACAACGAATACATCGGAAGAATTTATCAAATGTCGTTTTGACAATTTTTCAATGAGTTTAATACTATATTACGTAAATTTCAGTATTTGCGAAAATAAATAAATAGCCATGAATATGCGGGAACAGTTTTATATGTTATTAGTACACATTTCGAAATGTGCGGGAACGGTTTTAAAGAGTTCCATATAATCCTTAAATTAAAAAACTAAATATCTGCAACATTCCATTATCAGAAAGTGAAGAATACGACATTTGATGAATTCTTTCGATGTATTCGTTATAAAGGGTTTCACTGTACTTGATCAGACAAAGCTTTTAAGGGTACCGTTGTAAATCTGACATGTCAAAATATAAGATATTTTTTAGTAATAAACTGTCCAGGATAAGGAATAAAAACCCCTTTAAAAACCTTTTTAAACCAGGAAAACAAATAATTTTCAGGGAGTAGCAAAGGATTTTTCAATAAAATATTTACATCTGATTATTAAGATATTACTAGCACTGAATCTATTTAAATTTTCTTATAATAATGTAAAGCTTGGCATCTGCCTAGAGTTAGGTCTTCTTTGAATCAGCAAGGCCTCAGGTCTAGGTATACTCTGAAGCATCAAGGTCTTAGGTATACTCTAAAGTATCTGGGTCTAGGTAAAATCTAAAGTATCTAGGTCTAGGTCTACTCTGAAGTATCTAGGTCTAGGTCTACTCTGAAGTATCTAGGTCTAGGTATACTCTGGAGTATCTAGGCCTAGGTATACTTTGAAGTACCTAGGCCTAGGTCTACTCTGAAGTATCTAGGCCTAGGTCTACTCTGAAGTATCTAGGTCTAGGTATACTCTGAAGTATCTAGGTCTAGGTCTACTCTTAAGTATCTAGGTCTAGGTCTACTCTGAAGTATCTAGGTCTAGGTATACACTGAGGTATCAAGGTCTAGGTCTACTCTGAAGTATCAAGGCTAAGGTTATGAACTCTGGTTCGAGCAGCTTGAGCAGCGTGGTGGGATAAACTTGGAGAAGGAGAGAGACAAGGAGTTGAACACCTTCAATACATTCTTCTTCATTAATGTAAATATCAAGAATCAATAACAGGGGTGTATATATATATATAATTTTAAAACTCTAAAACTCTAAAACTCTAGAACTTTATTGATTTCCTTCCCTAAATTCGAGAACAATAAAGACATAATTTTTTAAGATATTTACAGTACTGCATAATAATCCCATGTATATACTTACCTCTCTTCCCCCTCCCTAATTTTCTTTCACCCTTCCCCTCCATTTCCTTTCTTCCGCCGTTACCCTTCCCCTTTTCATTTCCTTTAATCTTCCCTTTTTCCTTACCCTTTTTCCTTACCCTTTTTCCTTACCCTTTTTCCTTCACCTTCCCTTTCCCTATTTCCTCCCCCTTTAAGAATTTTAAACACCCCTGATATAAAATGAAGAAGCTAGAATCAAGGATCAAGGATCAGAGATCAGGGGTTAAGAATCCAGAATCGGAGATCAAGCATCAGAAACCAAGGATCAAGGGTTAGGGTTTAAGAACCAAGATTCAAGAATCAGGGTTTAAAGATCTAGAATCATAAAGCAAGGCACAATATTGCATTAACTATGGAGAAGAAAGGATAAGGAATGAAAGAGAAAATAAAGAATCAATAATATTGATGATGAATAAAGGATAAAGAATATTGAGGAAGAATGAAGGATAAAGAATATTGTGGAAGAATGAAGGATAAAGAATATTGTGGAAGAATGAAGGATAAAGAATATTATGGAAGAATGAAGGATAAAGAATATTGTGGAAGATTGAAGGATAAAGCATATTATGGAAGAATGAAGGATAAAGAATATTAATGAAGAATGAAGGATAAAGAATATTGAGGAAGAATGAAGGATAAAGAATATTGTGGAAGAATGAAGGATAAAGAATATTGATGAAGAATGAAGGATAAAGAATATTGAGGAAGAATCTTCGATAAAGAATACTGTAGAAGAATGAAGGATAAAGAATATTGTGGAAGAATGAAGGATAAAGAATATTGAGGAAGAATGAAGGATAAAGAATATTGAGGAAGAATGAAGGATAAAGAATATTGAGGAAGAATGAAGGATAAAGAATATTGTGGAAGAATGAAGGATAAAGAATATTGTGGAAGAATGAAGGATAAAGAATATTGTGGAAGAATGAAGGATAAATATATTGCGGAAGAATGATTCCCTCGAGTTTGTTAATTCTACTGAATCCATCTGTTTGAGAAGTTCGGCAGGACTTGGTCCTCCATCCCTACTTATATCAATCAATCAACTCGATAGATCAATAAATCAATCAATCACTTTGATAAGCAAATGACGAGCGACTGTTTTTATTCAGTCTTTTTTTTGTGCTCATAAAATTAACCCCAATTCATTGTCCATCATTAATTCTCATTTGCAATAAAACATTAAATGCAAAAGATCAATTTAAAACCTTTAGAACATGACATTAAATGTCAGCATTAGTTACAACTAAACAAAGAAAACACACAGAAAAAAAATTAAATAAACTTGAAAAAAATCCAAAACTGAAAAAAATCAAAAAATGGATGGGGACACACCTAGTAAATTCCCCTTTAAATACTTTCCATTTCTCCAGTAATATACAGGGTGTCCAACCATACACGACAATAGCAAGACGATTTGTAAGTCGTCAAAGATCTTAGAATTCATTTGAGACATTCCGTCGTTAACCTCCTTTCACATGTATGACTCTTGAAACAAAAAAACAAAAATTCTCCAGTGCCTGAGATTTTCTTAATGTGGTCTGCCTTATTGTGTTGTCAATATTACCGGAGATATTGAAAATTGTTCAGATTTAAATTTTTACTAAATAAAACCAAGTCGAAATCTTAACAAATTTAATCATATCCCGGTAATATTGAGAGCACAAAAAAGGCATACCACATTTTGGAAATGTTACGGCTAGGGCTATTTTGTGACTATTAACTCAAGAATTTTACTTCTAAAATTTGGATTACGAATAGATGCCGTATTGTGTTTCAAAAATCAAAGACGGCGTACCCTTATGTTTCGTGGGAAACCATGTATTTGCTACTACTGCTTCGTAAATATTTAATTTTGCTGCCGATCCTGGATCCGTCTCGGAGAAAATAGACCCGGATCCAAAAACCTGATTCGAATCCAGCTCAAATTTATTTCTTTTTGTTTTGTCAAGTTTTTTACTAAAAACAAATTTCGAATATTTTCTTCTTTATTTCCGCTCTGCAGTAACTATATTTAATATTCAATGATTAGGACAGTAATTATATCCTTGGTTAACACTGAAAATGTATGTTTTGCAAGCAAAACGTTTTTTCTTGAATGATCCTAAACACTGATAAATAATACAATCCATCGATCAACCAAGAAATAAACCATACAATCAATCAACCAAACACTTGAAAGTTGATCAATATATTCCTTTGAACTGGTTCGTCTTTATGAAATAGTTCCAGGGCTGTTGTTAAATCCCACATCTGTATACCACCGTTTGCATGGCCGGTGAAAATAAACCTAAAATTAAAAACTTTTTATTGCAGAATAAGATGTTTCCCCGTAAATGGTAAGATAACAACATTTTAACAGTTGAAGCATTTTCGGTAAAATCTGAGAAAATGTCGCCAGGACACCCCCCCCCCCTCTCTTACGAAACAGAACCTAATCTAATTTACCTCCGGGGCCTAGAACCAATCCTTGATGAACCCTCACACTCGTGAACACAAAAGGAAGTTATGTTGGATCCATCCACAGATTTTATCTCACAAACACGGGATCCTCTGAATATTTCATTATCCATGACAATTTTCATTACTTTCAAATACTTTTAACTCTAATTTTCCCATTAAATTATTTAATTTTTCAATTAAGCGAAAACCTCGACAAACTTTCCGTTCCCCGCGCACATTCCTAATATACTGCGAGAAAAACATTAATTCCTATAAAATTACGCTAAAATAAGTAAAATTCAAAGAAGGAGCATTTTCTGAAATTTACCACCCTTTTTCATTCTAGAAAGTCCAGTTCTAAATCACAATTTATTGGGAGTGGAACTGAATGGATTATGTCACGTAAACCTTGATCAATAACATGATCTAACCTGCTTGCTAGTCGAACTAGAACACTTTCTGTGTCTGGCAACAATTTCTGTACAAAAACCTAAACATTCATTTAATTATTTATGTACACTGTACAGGTTGTACCAGTCAGTACAACCTGTACATTCCGTAGAAGTCAGGGCTGAGACCTCATCAAAAATAGCCACATGACAAGGAGAGAAACGTCTTAAAATAGGGTTGAGTATGCTTCTATTTTTTTTATATCGTTCCGTTCCTCGTTCTAGTTTCCAATGTACTTGCACCCTTGCTCTCTGTAAGTTAAAGGTCTATTTGTTTAAATGATCTGGACTTGAAAAGTTGGATTGAAGTAACATGTATCACACTCCGCTATTTCAACTCAAAGGGTAAAATCATATTCTATTTTAGACCAAAATTTTGAATAAGAATAAGTTCCAGGTTTTAAACGTTAACGATTCCAGATAGTATTTCCATTCAATTACCGTTCGTTCTACGTTCGTTAATTTATAGATCGTTCCAATATTTCAAAAACGTATTCTGTGCAATGGTTCTTTTTTTCGGAACGATGGCATCGTTTTTGATAATTCCGTTCATTCCCGCGAAAGACTAATCGTTCCACAGGAACGCCGCCCAGCACCACGTACAAAAGATCGTCTTTGGTCTTTTGTAGGTTAGCTTCTTTTTCAGAAAAAGTTTGAGTAAACCCTATTCAATCATACAGATAAAGTAAAGTTAAGCAATCCTTGAACGAAATAAATGGTCGGCTGGAACTTGTGCAGTACAGAATACACTATACAGCGCTCACAATTTGAAAATTTGAATAATAAATAGTTATCTACTGACAATTGTATAACAAAGTTTACAGACTTGAACGCTTTTAATAATGAAGCGTACAAAAGCTCGGGCAAGTCCTGCAACCTTTTTGTTCTCATGCCTGCAAGCAAAGATGACGACCTCCAAACCGTCTCTTAACCGTCATGTTTATTGTGACACCCTGTATAATGTATAGTGTAGAATCAAGGTTAAATATCTTCAAAATTGTATAATCTGAAACCCATGGCCTATCCGGTGGATTGGAAGAGCAGTGTCTCTTACTTGTTCATCATCTTGGTCACCGAAAGGTCCGATATCATTTCCATGATTAGACTTTGGTATTTCCTCCTCCAGTGAGATTATCTTAAAACTAGAGAGGGACGTAGACCCAGGCTGAGTTGAAATCATTCCACGGAATCTAGAAATAATCTTTTTAATGAAAAATCATATTTCCCAACTTATATTTATCTACATATTTGTCTGTCTGTGAAAACCGCAAAAATTTTACAGATAGGACTAAAAATTTACTGAAAGGACTAAAATTTTACAGATAGGGCTAAAATTTAACAGATAGGGCTAAGATTTTACAGATAGGGCTAAAATTTACAGATAGGGTAAAAATTTCACAGATAGGGCTAAAATTTTACAGATAGGGCTAAAATTTTACAGATAGGGCTAAAATTTTACAGATAGGGCTAAAATTTTATCAATAAGGCTAAAAATTTACAGAAAGGGCTAAAATTTTACCGATAGGGCTAAAAATTTACAGATAGGGCTAAAATTTTACCGATAGGGCTAAAAATTTACAGATAGGGCTAAAATTTTACAGATAGTTCTAAAAATTTACAGAAAGGGCTAAAAATTTATAAAAAGGGCTTAAATTTAACAGATAGGGCTAAAATTTTGCAGACAGGGCTAAAATTTTACAGATAGGGCTAAAAATTTACAGCAAGGGCTAAAATTTTACAGATAGGGCTAAAATTTTACAGATAGGGCTAAAAATTTACAGATAGGGCTAAAAATTTACAGCAAGGGCTAAAATTTTACAGATAGGGCTAAAATTTTACAGATAGGGCTAAAATTTTGTATGGCTACTCACATGACTAAAGGGGAGGTTTATGGCTCAAAGTAATTGAAAAATTAAGCCTTGAGAAAATGTCAACATTTACGATTTTTGAAAATTTACCGATTTAAACCAAAAAATCCCTGTGTGGAGCACAATGAAAAAATGGCGGCCTGAAAGGCAACGTTTTAATGCCAAAGTTGTATGAACATATTTATCCCTGGCTAAACTAATGAATAGCATTACAAATTGCGTACTGTATTTGCAGTTGCATAAACGGATTTAAAAAATTTAAACAGCAATTGGCCAACTCATCCTAAGTTTTTTTTATCAACCTTCTAGAATGCAAATTAAAAACTATTAAAATCAACAAAGCATTATTCACTGTGACATTTGGGAGATCAGTGCTTGATGCCTTCATTTATGATTAGTACAAGGTACCCAAGGAAAATTAAATCCGTAGTTCTTCACAAGATCCATTCACAATAAAAAAGTTCTGACCTAATATTGGTTAAAAAATATAGAAAAAAGTCTGAAAAAAACCCGTGTTTACCTCGTTACGTCCCAGGTTCTCACGTGATTAAACTCAGCGCACACGGAAACTAGGTATTTTTCTGACAGGGTGACATTCACAACAGGATATCTAAATACAACGGAATATTATATTTATTAATAAGAGTAGTTATAGTTCCAATTCATTAAAACAGAGAGTATTCTTTTAAAATAAATTGTTAAATCTTGTCTTTTGGTCACAATATGCAATCATTAATCATCAAGCTACGAAATATATTTAACCTGTGAACAGTGAAGGTTTGAAAGAGCTGAGGACCATGTCCTACAGTTTCAGGGTGCTGAACTATCACACGAACTCTTTACCAGACCGGCCATCTTGGTTTTGTTCAAGAAAAGTAAGGTTAAAATCATCATTTTTTTTTTTTAGCAATGAGATATCAGTCAAAAATTAGTTCAAAGGAACTGGAAGCGTAATTGCAAGTGACCGTACTTTTAAAGATGGCAACGTTCGATTCACAACGTTTTCATTGTTACGCAGTCCCTTTATATCTAAGGAAAATTTAGTAAATACAAGCATTTTGTGTTAAATCAAAATAATCAACAATTATACACTTTTTTCTCTTTAAGTATTATAAGACGGGTTCCGCTATGCATTATTTATGTTTGATTATTTAGAAATTTTTTCTTGTTTTTTTTTGTTGAATTGAATTGAATGGACTCTGTTCCTGCCACTGCTGGTCCCGTAGGCAATCTCGATCCAGTTCCCACACAGACTCGTCTTAGGAGTCAAATACACGGATATAGCTGTCACACTATCTCCGCCAGGATCTCTAGCATTATCATCATTATCATCATTATCATCATTATCCTCATCATTATCATCATTGTCATCATTATCATTATCCTGATTATCCTGATAATCCTCATTATCCTCATTATTCCCATTATCATCATTATCATCATTATCATCATTATCATCATTATCATCATTATCATCATAATCCTCACTATCATGACTATCATGACTATCATGACTATCATGACTAGACTATCATGACAATCATGACTATCATGACTATCATGACTATCATGACTATCATGACCATCATGACTATCATGACTATCATCATTATCATCATTTTCTCCTGTTCTACCTGTAAAGCTCTGTGACTAGAAGATCGTTATCCTTCATCCTGAGCGGGAATTTCTGCATGTCTATATAGTTGATCGACCCGTTGGAGGAACCCAGGAGGAGGAAAGAGCCAGCAGTGTCATGGGAGGTGATCGGGGACAACTCCTTTATACAATCCCTTTATAATAACCGCCATAAAGCTGGGCTCGAATAGAAGGGGGGGGGGGAGATTTGTTCCTTTAACCCTTTTCAAATAACGATCATTTACATTAAACGTAAGTTAGCTTGGGAGTATATGGGGGGGGGGGCAATTCGACTCTTTTATCCTATTTCAATGTAAGAGGGCTAACTCTGGGGGTTGGGAGTTTTATTAGAGACAAATCTTTTATACAGAGATAGTTTAGTTCAAGGAAAAAACATTAATATTAAGCGTGAAAATTACTATTATATCAAATATTAAAAGGTTATTTACCAACTTTTAGGGAAAATACATGTATTTTTGGGTATAAAGTGCCTAAAAAGGGTGGAAAAACTAACTAAAAAATAGTTGATGAGACCCATTTTCATTTTTAATCCCCAGAACATTGACAATGACAATTATTCATTATTCTTGATTAAAAATACCTAGAGACTGTCACTTCAGAATTTATGAATTGTGACAATTTTGAAAATAAGATTAAATGATAATAAAAGGAATATTCCTGGGATTGCCAGTGTTGAGCTAAGGAATTCCAAACTCCTATTCTTCCTTAAAAATCAATTAATCATTAAATGGACGAGACCCAATCAATGTCGATTAATCAATAGATGATTTTATCAATTAATTAGTTAATAAATAATGATAAAATTATCAATTAATTGCTGATTCTTTAAATTATTTAATCTTCGACCTTTACAGCCTGTTAAGTGTATAGTGTACAGTGAACACTGTAAAGTGTACATATGTACTCTATGACCTTCACAGTCTGTTAAGTGTAGAGTGTAAAGTGAACACTGTAAAGTGTACATATGTACTCTATGACCTTTACAGTCTGTTAAGTGTAGAGTGTACAGTAAACACTGTAAAGTGTACATATGTACTCTATGATCTTTACAGTCTGTTAAGTGTAGAGTATACAGTGAACACTGTAAAATGTAACATATGTACTCTATGACCTTCACAGTCTGTTAAGTGTAGAGTGTACAGTGAACACTGTAAAGTGTACATATGTACTCTATGACCTTTTCAGTCTGTTAAGTCTGTTAAATGTAGAGTGTACAGTGAACACTGTAAAGTGTACATATGTGCTCTATGACCTTTACTACCTGTATGGGAAAGTGCCACCAGCTGAGCCCCAATACAGAATAAATGATCTACAGTAACCTAGGAAGAGAATACGAATAAATGATGTGATAATTGATGTCTAATAAGTGATTATTATTGCATCATATTTGTGAGGTTCCATGGGCACATACCCAAGAAATTATAGCAAAAAATAATTCGAGTGAAATCCGACTATTTCAAGTTGGAACAATTAACATTATGAAAGGTTCAAATAAGTTTTATGCTCTTGTTCTGACTATCACTGTTTTTTAATTTTTTTTTTCGCGTTAAAATGATAAAAAACCAGTGAAAATTGGTTCTTAAATTGAAAGTAATGCATGTGGTGTGACTGTTTCCTTAGTTTAGTTTCTTTGTTTACCATTAATTCTAATGTATTTGCTTCTTTTTTTCAAGATGATTCTACATTTAGATACAGCATGTTTAATGAGTTTGTTTTTAGATGAGGAGAAGGTATAGTAGTGGGTTGTCTTAATCTACTGAACAAAATCGTTAAATCATTTACACAGAAGAAATCATTTCATGGATCCTAAACCTTCCAAAAAGATGAGATTAAAGAAGATTATCTAGTAATAAGTATAACAATTTCCATTCTTTACTGCTCAGAGCGTGTAAGAATATACATTCTTTCACGCTCTGGCCATGTAATAATTTCCATTCTTACACGGTCTGAGCATTAAAGAATGAAAATTCTGCACCTACAGTGTAAGAATAAGCATTCTTAAACGCTAGGAAGGGAACAATATTAAAATTGTTCCTCCTGAACCGTGTAATAATGGGAATTCTTACACGATAGGTTTACTACTATGGAACCGAACAGATATGATATAATGAAAATTCTGCACCTACAGTGTAAGAATAAGTATACTTAAACGCAAGGAAGCGAACAATATTAAATTGTTCCTCCTGAACCATGTAATAATGGGAAATCTTAAATGAAAGGTTTGCTACTTTGGAACCGAACAGATTTGATATTATACTTTTTCTCTATCTCAAGTTAGCCAATGATAATCCTAGTTTAAAAAGCATGAATTACAAATAAAAAGTATGTGTATTCCCCTAGCCAACTTCTTAATCCTATTGTTGTTTAAAAAATGACCTAACTAGGACAAAAATCTACAAATCAACAAATCTACATACCTAGAGATCAATTTTTATTTAAGTTAAAATAAAAATCGATCGTGAAAGGACCCCGCCCCCTCTCACACACCAGGGATTCCAAGACCGCTACGGATCTACTAGGCCAATACCAGTATCATGAATATAAACCTAACCTAACCCTGTGTATATAAACCTAACCTAACTTTGTGTAAACCTAACCTAACCCTGTGTATATAAACCTAACCTTAAACCTAACCTAACTTTGAGTAAACCTAACCTAACTTTGTGTAAACCTAACCTAACCCTGTGTGTATAAACCTAACCTAACTTTGTGTAAACCTAAACTAACCCTGTGTATATAAACCTGACTTAACAATGTGTATATAAACCATACCTATCCCTGTGTATATAAACCTACCTGGAGATTGAATATCCCTATATCCGTCCTGGTTCCCTCCTCTCCGAACCCCATGAGACGGATTGAACTCCCAGATGCTACAGCAATCATCACAGTCACTTGGTCTAACAACCCAGTTATATTATTTGTGAAGTAGAAAGCCTGTATAAGTGTGTGTGTGAATATTAGTTACAAATTAATCAGTTAATCACTAAAGTTCTGAAAGGAAATCCAATATGGAACCCCTAGACCATCAAACCGTAACAAAATGATACATTTGACCCTTCACAGCATGTTTTGGCCTGGCTTATCCGGTATCCCTCCACTTCACCCTTTATACACCGCAGGTCGTCTTCTGTCGATTTATTGGACGATTTTTCAAAATCCACGTGCAATGCAGAATACTTAAGCTGGTTATAAATATCAATATAAAATATAAAAACCAAAAATTGAGAGAATAGATCGTTTTAAATTAATATGTTTAAACCGATTATAAATATAATGGGTTTCCTAAGCCGACGGCAGGAAGAATAGATCCCATCTTGGAGTTGATGGCAACCTTAAACATTTCAACATTTCAAAGTAGTAATAGCCGTAAGTCTGTGAGTTTGTTTGTCCGATCAGAACTCACGAACCCTTGAACCGATTTGCCTCAAATTTTGATAGGGAAGCTAGGAAAATCTAAATAAATGTTTTTAGCTTGGTTTAAAAGTTATTAATAGAGTGAGTTAATATTTGTATATAAAGTTTAGTTTACAGGCAACTGTCAACGCTGGGTTCCCAAGCGAGTTTGATACAATAATAAATGAAAAAAACCTGTCCTATCTCCAATTCTAGGTAAGGTGAGGAAAATGCTAACCTGTCCTATCTCCAATTCTAGGTAGGGTGAGGTAAATGCTAACCTGTCCTATCTCCAATTCTAGGTAGGGTGAGGTAAATGCTAACCTGTCCTATCTCCAATTCTAGGTAGGGTGAGGTAAATGCTAACCTGTCCTATCTCCAATTCTAGGTAGGGTGAGGTAAATGCTAACCTGTCCTATCTCCAATTCTAGGTAGGGTGAGGTAAATGCTAACCTGTCCTATCTCCAATTCTAGGTAGGGTGAGGTAAATGCTAACCTGTCCTATCTCCAATTCTAGGTAGGGTGAGGTAAATGCTAACCTGTCCTATCTCCAATTCTAGGTAGGGTGAGGTAAATGCTAACCTGTCCTATCTCCAATTCTAGGTAGGGTGAGGTAAATGCTAACCTGTCCTATCTCCAATTCTAGGTAGGGTGAGGTAAATGCTAACCTGTCCTATCTCCAATTCTAGGTAGGGTGAGGTAAATGCTAACCTGTCCTATCTCCAATTCTAGGTAGGGTGAGGTAAATGCTAACCTGTCCTATCTCCAATTCTAGGTAGGGTGAGGTAAATGCTAACCTGTCCTATCTCCAATTCTAGGTAGGGTGAGGTAAATGCTAACCTGTCCTATCTCCAATTCTAGGTAGGGTGAGGTAAATGCTAACCTGTCCTATCTCCAATTCTAGGTAGGGTGAGGTAAATGCTAACCTGTCCTATCTCCAATTCTAGGTAGGGTGAGGTAAATGCTAACCTGTCCTATCTCCAATTCTAGGTAGGGTGAGGTAAATGCTAACCTGTCCTATCTCCAATTCTAGGTAGGGTGAGGTAAATGCTAACCTGTCCTATCTCCAATTCTAGGTAGGGTGAGGTAAATGCTAACCTGTCCTATCTCCANGAATATTTTCTTTCAAAGTTCAATTTAATGGCAACAAAAAGTTATTAATTACAGTTCTCAAGAACTAGTTTATCCCTGTAGCCTGGAAACTGAGCCGGTGGGTCTGTCTAGTTTGACCGGAGGGGTAGGTTCCGGGGCAGGCATACTAGGGGCAGGTAGATACGCGTAGAACAGGACATCACCACAACCTTGAACAGTTCTCAACATAGTTTATGTTTTACTCTTTAGAAGGGGCATAAATGCATTAACCCCCCCCCCACATTTGACTTGCTAAGCTCAGGAGAAGAAAATAAGTTTTTCCCTCTTTTCCATAATTTTTATAAAAATCGTTTAATTTTCTTTAAAACCTTACAATTTACACACTTTACAACACTAAAAATACAAGTGAAAGAGCCAGTTTTTAATTAACCTTCCTCTATAGAGGGACATTACTGATTCACAACGATACCCTTTAAACCTTTAACTGATTATTAGTATTCTCATTTTTCTAGCTAATAAATAGGTAAATAGGTGCCAGGAAACTTAGGTGTACAGTGTACAATGTGCAATGTACAATGTACAATGTACATTTTACATTGTACATTGTACAATGCATACATTAATAATAATTAATACTCCTAGAAACTGACGTCAAACGGTTCCAGAAGACATTCAATTGTGATGCTGGAAAAAATAAGAATATCTCTTACATCTTTAATAAGAAACAGGTTTTAACTTAAAAGAGTAGCGATGTGAATCAGACATGCCCCTCCCCAAATGGAGGGTACTGGAAAGCTGGAAAGTCCCTTAAACAATACTTTCTATGAACCTGAAGTGTCCAGATCTGAGCAAAGAGTCAGCTTTCGTATCAACGGTGAAATACCGTAATATTCAGCCTAGTGTTGAGATCTCCTTTAAACAAATTGAAATGAACTGCGAGTGAAGAAAGTAAATAGAAAAAAAGCTAAATGAGCAATTTTTTTATTAAAATTTCCATCGAGAGTACATTTTTTCAAGAAAAACAAACTTTTAAAAATATTTGGAATAATAAAAATGAGTTATTTTCCCTCATTCGGGGGAAAAAGGTCAATTTTTAGAAAGGGAAATATTTAAAGATATTTTTCCAAAATTTTATTAAAAGTGCATTAAAGGGATTGTTCCTCATGTTTAATCTGGGATATAGAGTTGGTCGATAATCCTTCAACATTTACACATCTTGTCCGCAAATAGTTCAAAATACATCTACAATTAAAGATAATAAAATAAAAAAGACGTTAAAAATATTATATTGAAAAATTAAATTAAATTAACCCCTGCCTCTTCTATCTATAGATTATGTATCTAAAAATGATGCTTCAAATACTTTTTTTCATTGAAACTCATTCTTTATGTTAATTATCTTTCTAATGATAATAATAATAGCCCCTAAATATCTACCTAATGATAATAATAATATCCCCCTAATTATCTACCTAATGATTATAATAATATACCCTAATTATCTACCTAATGATAATGATAAAAGCTCCTAATTATCTACCTAATAATAATGATAAAAGCCCCTAATTATCTACCTAATAATAATGATAAAAGCCCATATTATCTACTTAATAATAATGATAAAAGCCCCTAATTATCTACCTAATAATAATAATAAAAGACACTAATTATCTACCTAATGATAATGATAAAAGCCCTTAATTATCTCCCAAATGATAATTATAAAAGCCCCTAATTATCCACCTAAAAAGTTCTGGATCTCTATCTATAAATATTGCTCCCAACTCATCCTTTTGCGTATTTATTCGACCAGAGAGCATAGAAGTGAAGAATGTGTCCTAAAAAAAGGTATAAAAAATTTAAAAAAGGAAAACTTGACTTTATCACAAAAAAAATCGAAAATGCGTTATCTACAGGGTTACCAATAAATGACGAGACTGTAAAGACGACCTGAAACTCTTAAAATTTGAAAATTCCAAGATTTAATTAAGTCCTCTGCCTTGAATGTAATATTTGTGGGTAACCCTGTACATTAAATTACAACATGAAAGTAAATAAATGTGTTAAGAAATGTTATGTGGTATTAAATTAGGCTTGATAATAATAATTATGATAATTAATGATTATGATGACGATATTAATAATAATATTACCGGAATGGTCGTCAGGGTTTGTCTTGATGTAGAAAATCTAGTTCCTCCAACATTTAAATTTATAATTTCCCCTCCTCCCCCACCACCGCCCACCGACATTTTCTAGATCTGAAACAATGCGTTTATCAACAAATCAATCAATCAATGAATTCTAATCAATGTTTGATCCCTAGATATTGGAAAACTGAGCAACTTTGTATATTCAAGGAGCAGTGTTTTCCAGTAACAAGAAATGTCGTTGAGCGTCAAATGATTTTCTATGAAGTTGGCGCCATTTTCACTAATTTCCCGCATTATTCCATCATGATGGATTGCGAAATTTATGATGGACTGGATCATCTGTTGATCAGCTGTGCTGGGAACAGGAATATAATGGAACCAGGGAACAAGGGATGGATAAAAGAACTCCAACCATTCATCTCCGACATGAAAAACTAAAAAAAGATTTAAAATAACAAAACAGAAATTTTCCTCAAGTAAAAAAGTGAATTTACCTAGACTTCGGCAGAGAAAAAGATGCTTAAATCTAAAGCTAGCAGCTACCCCTCGGTAATTGAACAAATACTTAAACCTGAAAATATACATTTATAATTTTAAAAACATTTTAAATAAATTATTTCTCTTGGTAGCAAACTTAAAAATCCCAAAATACAAAGGTGAACATTTTTTTTTATTGACTTGCATTGAAAGGAACTCGCGAAAAAAAAATCCGCAAATGCAATAATTCATTCTAATGCGTTGATAACCTGAGCAAAAAAATAGGATTTATTTGTAAAAATAATAGCAATGAAACAATTAAGCTTTTTAGATGAAGTGATTGATTGATTGCTTGCTTGCTTGCTTGATTGTTTGATTGACTGATTGTTTGTTTGACTGATTGATTGTTTGCTTGATTTATTAATCGGTTGTTTGCTTGATTGATTGATTGGTTGTTTGCTTCATTGATTGCTTTTTGCTAGATTTATTGATTGTTTTCTTGATTATTCGTTTTTTATTTGATTAGTTGCTTGATTATTTGATTAGTTGCTTGATTATTTGATTAGTTGCTTGATTATTTGATTAGTTGCTTGATTATTTGATTGCATCGCTTTGAAATAACCTGCAATGCTCCTCCAGCTTCACCTCTTCAGCAGGCTCTTCTCCTTAAAGTAAAAAATAAAAAAATTTGAAAAATTAAGATTGGTGCATGACTATTGTCTATTGCATTCTGCACAGTGGACGCTACAACGTTTTTAGATTTTTTTGTTTTTGAAAATACAGGAAAAAAAAAAATATCAAAATTAAACAAAATTAAAACATAATTTGAAAAACCTTATTTTACCCCTTAACTTATATTTACACTTACACTCAAGTAAAAAAAAAAAACTTACCTTGAAAAGATTAATTTTTTAAAATTTCAAAATTGAATTCTCTACCTAGTGTGTCTTTGCTGGATTTCCAGGCTTGATTTTTTGTATACTTGGCATCAACAAGCTTTCCATTTTTCCTCAAGAATAAAAGTATTTAAAAACAAAAAAAAAGCGCTCAAAGAGATTATGAACATAATTCTAAGTGACCCCATTTAAAAATGAGCAATAATTATTTAAAAAAAGGCAAAACAAGGATATTCTCAACATTTTCAATGGGTACCGATATTAAACGGACATGCATCACTTTAACTGGAGTGAAATTAAACCCAATATACCTTTAACTTGTAGTAAATTATAATTAATTAGCTTGTTTGATCAGTGTTCTCACTTTAAATCTATATGTTTTGTTTAATGACGAAAACCAATCTAAAGCTCAAATTATCCAGAACTACCCTATAAACAGTCCATGTAATAATGTATTTAACTTGCAAATTTCAATTCACAGATAAAAAATTAAACAATATTCTTATGTATATGCTGATTTATCTTAACATTTCAAGATTAACTGATTGGTTGATTGTAAAAATATCAGATGATTGACTGATTGGTGGATAGAAAAAATGTCAGATGATTGACTGATATTGGTTGATTGTAAAAATGTCAGATGATGACTGATAGGAAAATTGTAAAAACTCACCTTGAGATCAAAACTAAAGGGTCCCTTTCCGCACTAGTTCTAGAACCACGAAAAAAAACCTTTTAAAAAAATCCTGTTATTTGTTTATCACTTCTTCAATACTCCCCCTTTCACTCATCCTTTCTACTCCCCAAGGTTAAAATAAAAAGGAAAGTTATTTCAGATGTATACGCATCTTTTGTACTGCAGTTTACTGTCTCTGGGCGGAAATGTAAACACAAGACAGCTGTCGAAGCTTCACATGGGATCCATCTTTCACATAAAAAAATCGATGAAATATTCTGGTCATAGGAAACTATTATGTGAATTATCAAACTCATCAAAATTCAATGCTTTTAACCTCATCGGATACTACACGAACACTGATGTTTACAAATTCCACCCAGAGAGAACTGGTTTCAATTTGTACGCAGAGTATACGCAACTGCAATTAACTTTCCTTGCATTACACCCTTGCTGCTCCCTTCGTTTGGTCTACTTCACTCCCACCTCTGCTTCTCTTCCCATTTCTACTCTCCTCACTCTTCTCTGCTTCCTCCCATCCCATTGTCAACTTTTCCCATTTTTCTATTCCCCCCCTTCCATCCCCTCCGTTTTCACTTCCCAACCTTTCCTTGCAGGATACCTTAGATTCTTTCCTAGACCATGGATTGTCTGCAGCTGCTGAGCTCAGCGTCTTTCTATATTCATCCCACCGACCCAAACCATTCGGGTAAATTCCTGATAAATAGCTTAGGATAAATTCCTAATTAATAATTTAGGGTAAATTCCTGATTAACAATTTAGGATAAATTCCTGATTCATAATTTAGGGTAAATTCCTGATAAACAGCATAGGGTAAATTCCTAAATTAATAATTTAGGGAAAATTCCTGATTAATAATTTAGGATAAATTCCTGATCAATAATTTAGGGAAAATTCCTGATTAATAATTTAGGGTAAATTCCTGATTAATAATTTAGGGTAAATTCCTGATTAATAATTTAGGGTAAATTCCTGATAAACAGCATAGGGTAAGTTCATGATTAATAATTTAGGGCAAATTCCTGATTAATGATTTAGGGTAAATTCCTGATAAACAGCTTAGGTTAAATTCCTGATTAATTATTTAGGATAAATTCCTGATTAATAATTAAGGGTAAATTCCTGATTATTAATTTAGGGTAAATTCCTGATTAATAATTTAGGGTAAATTCCTGATTAATAATTTAGGATAAATTCCTGATTAACAATCTAGGGTAAATTCCTGATTAATAATTTAGGGTAAATTCCTGATTAATAATTTTGGATAAATTCCTGATTAATAATTTAGGGTAAATTCCTGATTAATAATTTAAGATAAATTCCTGATTAATAATTTAAGGTAAATTCCTGATTAATAATTTGGGGTAAATTCCTGATTAATAATTTAGGATAAATTCCTGATTAACAATCTAGGGTAAATTCCTGATTAATAATTTAGGGTAAATTTCTACATAACAACTTAGGGTAAATTCTTAAATAAAAAAAACGAAAATTGTTTCGTTTTTTAAAAAAAACAAGCAAAATTTTTACGCAAAAGCTATGAATACAATTTTCATACCCCCTCCCCCCCCCCACCCTTACAAAAGAATGAAAGTAAAAACTTAATAAAAACACTCCTACAGTAGTTTCTTCCCCAAAATATGTTAAGACATTTTTGACATTTTTAATGCTTTATTTGTGATCCTAAGGGAAAATTAATATTTTGTCCGGGGAAAAGTAGAAATAAAAAATTGTAAAAAAGTAATGTTTTCAAGCATTTTTCTGTAAAAGCTTTAAATATCGTGGGAAAGTATGTATACTGCATAGTGCATATACCCATGGGAAAGTATTATACTGCATAGTGCATATACCCGTGGGAAAGTATGTACACTGCATAGTGCATATACCCGTGGGAAAGTATGTATACTGCATAGTGCATATACCCGTGGGAAAGTATGTATACTGCATAGTGCATATACCCGTGGGAAAGTATGTATACTGCTAGTGCATATACCCGTGGGAAAGTATGTGTACTGCTAGTGCATATACCCGTGGGAAAGTATGTGTACTGCATAGTGCATATACCCGTGGGAAAGTATGTATACTGCATAGTGCATATACCCTAGGGAAAGTATGTACACTGCATAGTGCATATACCCGTGGGAAAGTATGTACACTGCATAGTGCATATACCCGTGGGAAAGTATGTATACTGCATAGTGCATATACCCGTGGGAAAGTATGTGTACTGCTAGTGCATATACCCGTGGGAAAGTATGTATACTGCTAGTGCATATACCCGTGGGAAAGTATGTATACTGCATAGTGCATATACCCGTGGGAAAGTATGTATACTGCATAGTGCATATACCCGTGGGAAAGTATGTGTACTGCATAGTGCATATACCCGTGGGAAAGTATGTATACTGCATAGTGCATATACCCGTGGGAAAGTATGTGTATAGTGCATATACCCGTGGGAAAGTATGTATACTGCATAGTGCATATACCCGTGGGAAAATCTCTGTAAAGTAATGTGATAGTGCAACTTTATAATAACGGAAACCAATCATTATTTTTAAAAAAATGATTCTAAAAATATTTGCTAAAACTAACCCAAGGCCGGTCCTCCCTCCCAGAAAGTCCAGGCTGGAAACATTACATCCCAGTAGTCTTTAGTTTTGCTGAAACTAAACACAGGAACGGCCGAGCCAAAATGTCTCCCGGCCATCGGCCAGTCCCGGGTGTTCAAGTAGAACTCAGTATTCGGCAGGTCCTGGAAATAAATCGGTTGGAAAATGTGAATTAAAGGATCTAAAAAACGTAGTTTCAAATTACCAAACATATATAAAGTGACATGTCCGATTCACAACAGTGTCATAAAAAGCTTTATCTGATCAAGAATGAATTAAATATCCATATTTATATTTTTAATTATTGTTTCTATACCAAAGTGACTTTCCGATACTACTGCAGGAAATTAATAGGAATTATCAGAATTAAATACTCTTCAAGCTACAAAAATGACGTTATCTTTACATATAAAGTTGTAATCAATGTCTGTTTGTATGTTTGTCCGATCATACCTCAGGAACCCTGGACCGATTTGCCTCAAATTTTGATTTGGGAACTCGGGAAAACCACGGGAATGTTCTTAGCTTGGTTTTAAGGGGGTCGACTTTAATAGCGCAAAATTTAGTTTCCCGGTAATATCGTTTAAGTGCGGGTAAACGGGGGGAGTAACTTTTAGTAACCTGGGCAGTGCTGGGTTCATGAGCTCGTCTTCCAGATTATTAAGTATTTACCAGATAAAGGTTTTAAGGGTATCATTGTGAATCAGACATACATATCTTTAAATGGACGGTCACTTGAAATAACTGCACTCTGCACTCTGCACTCTGCACTCTGCAATCTACACTCTACACTCTACACTCTACACTCTACACTCTACACTCTACACTCTACACTCTACACTCTACACTCTACACTCTACACTCTACCGTCATTTAAATTTATAAGAAGTTTACGCTCACACCCATATAACTAGTCAATATAATTTAAAGTAAGAGATGTTTTTTTCGCTTTCTTCAATCGTTTTGTTTTGAAATTAATCATTTTATCAATTAATATTTTATCTATTTTAATATCTGTATTTATTATGGGACAAACTCCTGACAATGACAATGATTTTGGTGAATTATATTGAGAAAATTGTAATGAGAGAGTAGGGTTGATATTTGTTAACAAACGATCTAAAATCTAAATATTTACCTTTACAAGTTCTAATAAAAAATGTTCAATTCCGCTGCACCTACAACAATAGAAATCTCAATCAAAAAATTAATCTTTCGCAATATTTTTGCTCCGTGGGGCGTGGATCCTGCTCCGCAAAAATATCCTTATCAAAGGAGAAAAAAAGATAAAAAATGTTATTACGTACACATTTTTTTTGTAGTTTCTGCTCTATGTTTGTTTCATGAAGGGAACAGCTAGGGATGAATACGGTATAATGTCTAAAAAATACCTTCTTCCCGCCATCAGAATATTAGAAAATTTCTAAGAGTTTTTTCTCACTGATTTGGGAAACTCAATGATCTGTCTAGGGTAATAAGGAATAAAAAAGTTCTAAATATTCGTCAGCTAATGCCGATTTTCATTTTTCCGAAAAATCTTAGAAAATCATTATATGCATCCCTGGAAATATGTATCCATGGAAATATGTATCCTTGGAAAATATGTATCCCTAGCAAATATGTATCCCTAGAAAAATGTATCCCTAGAAAAATGTATCCCTGGAAATATGTATCCCTGGAAAATATGTATCCCTGGAAAATATGTATCCCTGGAAAATATGTATCCATGGAAAATATGTATCCCTAGAAATATGTATCCCTGGAAAATATGTATCCCTAGCAAAATGTATCCCTGGAAATATGTATCCGTGGAAAATATGTATCCCTGGAAAATAAGTATCCCTGGAAATATGTTTCCCTGGAAATATGTTTCCCTGGAAATATGTATCCCTGGAAAATATATATTTATGGAAAATATGTATCCATGGAAAATATATATTTAGGGAAAATATGTATCATTGAAAAAATGTATCCCTGGAAAAATGTATCCCTGAAAAATATGTATCCCTGGAAAATATGTATCCCTGGAAAATATGTATCCCTGGAAAATATGTATCCCTGGAAAATGTATCCCTGAAAAATATGTATCCCTAGATATATGTATCCCTGGAAAATATGTATCCCTAGATATATGTATCCCTGGAAATATGTATCCCTGGAAATATGTATCCCTGGAAAATATGTATCCCTGGAAATATGTATCCCTGGAAAATATGTATCCCTGGAAAATATGTATCCCTAGATATATGTATCCCTGGAAAATATGTATCCCTGGAAATATGTATCCCTAGATAAATATGTATCCCTAGATATATGTATCCCTGGAAAATATGTATCCCTGGAAAACTACCTGAAAGGGAACATGCAATTCTTTGAGCGGAAAAGTTGACCGTCAATTATCTGATATTTCGTAATTCTAAAACAATTATTCTTATAAGGTTTTTACTTGGTGCAAAAAAAGTTTATCGTTTTATTTATTCTTTTTTCTCTATTAATGTTTATTTGTTTGTAAAGACCCAAAAAGTTACCTGGAGATAGTTTTTGCGCTGTCCAGAGTTTCTTTGCTAATCCCATCTGCAAAAGGTGAAAGATCCTAAGAAAAATTAAATTTTTATTCTTAATCAGCTGATAGCTTGGATTTATCTATCCTTAATTCTCTTGCCTTTTTAATGGTTTCATCGTAACAATAAGAACACCCTGAAGATGTGTGCCCGCATTCCACATAGGTTTCCGCAGCATTTTTAATCAGACTTTTATATTCCGACCATTCCTTGGACCACCGGGAATTCGGACCCTTATCGTTCCCGCATTCCTCCGACTGTCCCGTCTCACAAAATTGTAGTTCCGTGGATTTTACGTATACAAATAAGTGGAGAAAATACGCAAAACGCATTTTTCACAATTTAAGTTCGTCAGTGATATTATGTATATATACTGATTGCTAATCGCCCGTAATCGTTTGAAGATTTGGTTTATTAAAAGTTTTGTTTTTTGTTCTTCGGGTATTGCTAGATGAGGAGTAATCAGAATTGAAGACTCTTCTCCTTCTTCCAGTGTTCACAAAACCGTTCTATATCGTCTAGGCTCAGGCTGGAGATGCGACGCTCTAAAATCCGCAAAAACGATGCCACAACCTTGTCACAATCCTCTGCACTCCTGGAAAAAGAATAATCTTTAAAATCCTCGAAATAAATTTGTATACAGAGCGTCGAATATAAAACAGGATTTTTAACCAATAAACTCAAAAAAAAAATATTCAGAGCTCTGTGTTTTGTCCTTAGGAACCCATATCTCGGCATTTTCTATTATGTCCTACAATTTACTACTACAACTTAGAGCAATACTCATTATTGAGAATATGATGTCGGACATATTATGAGACTTCATTATAAAATCATATCATAATACTCCATTATAAAATCATATCATAATACTCCATTATAAAATCATATCATAATACTCCGTTATAAAATCATATCATAATACTCCATTATAAAATCATATCATAATACTCCATTATAAAATCATATCATAATACTCCATTATAAAATCATATCATAATACTCCATTATAAAATCATATCATAATACTCCATTGTAAAATTTGCATTGTGCAATATACTTTACTTAACGTTAATGGGTAATTTTGCTTTTGAAGTATAAGCAACTTTTCTTGCGCTGTAAAAGGGGAAACGCCCCCCCCCCACTAAAAAAAAAATTGAAAGAGGGGTGGGGGAACTAGGCTTGACGACACAGCTATTACATAATATTGAAGAAAAATCAATTACGAATTTTGGCTTTTCATCTCAATCAATACAAAAGTTTTCTAATGTGTCAATACAATCCTTCTAATTTATAACTTAACAATTCCATCTCCTCTTCTCCCCATTTACCTGAAGCTATCCTTAAGGATCTTGTGGAGCTCGGCCTCAAGTTTTGACCTCGGTGTGTCGAGGACAGTGGTAGGAGGCACTGCAGGGACAGAACCAGGTTTAACAACAAGAAATATCTGAAGAAAACAAAAATAAATCAAAAGAACTAAGGAACAAAGTGAGATTCTAGTTCGTGAACATTTTATCTGATAAAAATCTTGCTTTTTACGGATCCAGAGGGCCAACATATTGCGGATCCAGATAACAGAGTTGAAAACATTGCGGATCAGGATCCAGAGAAAAAAAAACATTGCGGATCCGGGTTCTGATAGAAAAAAAACAACTTTGTGGATTAGGATCCATAGAGAAAAAATGTTGCAGATCAAGATCCAGAGAGGAAAAAGCATTGCGGATTCAGATCCTGGGGAAAAAACAGATTACGGATCAAGATTCAGAGAAAAAAACACATTGCGAATCCAGATCAGGGTTCAAAAACCTTACGGCTCCGGATCCTGATCTCCGACATGATCTCCTTGATACAGTTTACCTTATCACCGTCTTTTATTTTGTATTCTTTGAGGGTTGTGAAGTCCTGCAAAGTTTTCCCCTGATCAACACCAACCATTATTCAAACCAGAAAAGGGGGGATTTTCTTGAAATTACCACCCAATCCCCTCTCCCCCTCTAGACAGTAGTTTTTTTAATTGCTAGCATATTGGGAAAACTGGTGCCAACATTGATCATTTCTCAGGATTCTTTTTTTCGTTGAAAATATGTTGAAAAGGGGAAAATATGTTGAAATGGGGAAAATATGTTAAAATGGGGAAAATATGTTGAAATGGGGAAAATATGTTGAAATGGGGAAAATATGTTGAAATGGGGAAAATATGTTGAAATGGGAAAAATATGTTGAAATGGGGAAAATATGTTGAAATGGGGAAAATATGTTGAAATGGGGAAAATATGTTGAAATGGAAAATATGTTGATATGGGGAAAATATGTTGAAATGGGAAAAATATGTTGAAATGGGGAAAATCTGTTTTAAAAGTGGGAAAATATGTTGAAATTAGGAAAATATGTCGAAACTAGGAAAATATGTTGAAATTGGGAAAAAAAATGATTTTCTTAGATGAAAAGTATAAAAGATGGGATAACCTTGATAATTGCCCTTTCATCCGAGAATCCCTCCCCCCACTTGAGTTTTTAAATGAATACGGAAAAATCTGAAAAGAAAACTTATGAATGAAAGAAGAAAAATGAAGAAAAAAAATAGACTGAAAAGGACATTAAGATAAAAACTGAAAGTATAAAAAATACAAATAAAAAACGAAAGGGTTAAAGGATGAAATTATGAATTATTAAATAAAAAATGAAAAAAAGAATTAATATTGAATGAATGAATTTGTTGATAAATGAAAAATGAATGGATTCCTTGAGAACAAGTTTCTGATTTTCGGTGGGAATTTTCAGTTCTCTTTCAACACCGGCCTAAGCATTTAATCAATTAATCTACTGTGTTAGCAATCAATCAATCAGTCAAAAGTAAAATTTAACAAACCACAAGAATAAGTAATTATCGAATAGTCATTCTATTAACCTAACGATAAATATATTAATAACAACAGCGCTCAATCAATAAATCAAGCAATCAATCATCAAGCTTTGGGGCTTACAGGGTAATCCATACACTGTGTAGTTTCTTGTCTAAAATTCAAATAATAATAATAGGACAAAAAGAAACCAGGATTTTATTAAATGATATTTTTTAACAGTTACAAATAGCTTTAAAGTGAAATTTGTTGTCTGTCACTTAAAAAGAATTAACATTGAAAGAATGAAAATAATAAACTCCCCCTGCTGAATACCTTTAAATCTTCAGTAGTATTATCTTCTGTGATCTCTAAAGCACACTCAGCCCCCTTAATAAAACATATTATAATACTACATCATAGCGTTACCCGTTGAATCTAAAAAATCGTCCAACGCTCGAAAGAAAACGACCTCCTGCAACAAAACGGTTAATCTGCGGGTGGAATTGCAACCTGCATCCTCCCCTCTGGAAAAAAATACTTTAATTAGTAAAATAGATGTCCCAAAGATATATTTTAAAAGCCCTCCGTGTATTTTGAAAAACTATAATGTTAATTTTTTAATAGTACAGGTGCTAGGGAGGTTTAAATCCCTCCTCCTTCCTGTTACTAATCTAATTAACAATTATACCTGTAAAATTTTGACAGTAATCATAAACTTTAAATTGAGTGGCTATAGGCTCCGTCGACCCCCCGCCTCTGTATCGCCCCTGAGATTGTTTTTAAGTTCTAAAATCTAACTTCTTTTTCTCCTAACAGACCAAATACTCAACTGAACAGTTGTGAATGGCTCTGATTTAAGAAGGACAAGAATTTGTGAAAAAGTTTGTTAATACAAACTTTTAAACTATTTATCACGCAACCTCGGCACTTAAAACTCCTGATCCAGAAAATCTACGCGGCATTCAATAAGCAACAGGTTGATTTCTATTTTGAAATATTTTAAAAGTGTAGATTTTTTATTAAGTCGCCCAGGGTTCCCACGTCGGCATAATGAATGTAACCTGAAGGAAGCAGAGATTATTGAAATATGATGACTTCTGACTCCCTCTGATGAGGTACTAACACTAGAGGGTTCCCGCACTCTGGACTATTGGCCGGTTCTAGAAAGATGACTCTTAAGAGTGGTATAAGAGCGGTATTAGCTAATACCACTCTTATACCACTCTTAACGCTAATACCAGTGTTTAGGAAATTCGGATTCTTTAGACGCTAATGCTGCCTAATTCGGGGTAGGATTATCTAGCATAGAACAGCTGAAGAGTTCTTTAGTCATCCTAGCTAATACCGGTTTTATCATCCATTCTANATCTAAACATTGATGTAGATTAAACAACTGCAATCTATTGAAATTTTTTATTTTAAGAATAATTTTAAGAATAATGGACCCTCCATTAACAAAAGAGACTAGCAAAGTTTATATGTATATATATATATATAGATAAAGTAGTATGTCTGAAAAGCAATGGTGCCCTTTAATCATCTGTCTGATCATCAATGTCAGAGATATTTTTTTTCTGGCAAACATATTTCCCTAGTGTTCCTTCCTTTCAAACTGATGATCATCCGAAATCTAGATGTGGGGATAAACTGCTTCATTATTGGAGGTTTTCTACCGAGTTTACAACTGTTTATCTCATCAAACTTGCTTTTGAAGTTGTAACAGTTTTAGGTAATAAATACATTTTTAGAAATGAAATACATTGTAGATTTCTCATTGATTTACTTTTTTGTATTTATTAGTAAAAATCTATGATTCTTATGTAGCTGTGAGTTCACTGTTTAAAGATGCGAAAAATCAGCCAACAATTGATTTAAAACGTAAAAATATGCGAATTTTCCACAGCCTCTATAATTGGATGTTATTAAATAAATATCTCTTTTATTACTTAGCATTTTACATTTTCCAGGTTTTGTTGAAGTTCTACAGATGATGGGGTTCAGTATCTTGTGAGGAAACATCCTGAAATACTTATGGTTGAAAAAGAATTTACCTGAAAAACATGTAAATTGACAACAATTGGATTGAAAAGGATATTGTGTCTTCCTTGACTGTGGGAAGAAGCATTAAATTTATTTCTGGAATAAATGTCAACATTGCCTCAAAACAACTCCAAACTCTACTGCTGAACTGTCATATAAAGGAACTCTAGATAATGACTGGTTTCTACAAATATTGGAACAGTGTGGAAGTACCCTTAAACTCTGACCTTAAACAATTGGATTGTTACTAGTGAAATATTGATTAAATACCAGGGAACCCAGCGCTATTTAGAGGATCTAAACATGAATTGTTGTAAACAACTCACAGACAACGGATTATTACTGATACTTCAGCTCTGTGGGAGTACACTTAGATACTTAAATATATCAGGTACAGAAGAAACTGAAGAGAATATGAAGTAAAACTGTCTTGTTCAGAGCAAGTGTACATGGATAACTGTAGTGAGCATACAAATAATAGATTGTCGCAGATACTTCAGCATATTAGAAACAGATAAAACTGGGAACCCTGCCTTGTTTAGAAGACTTGTATTTGGAATACTGTTGGCAGCTTACAAACAACGGACTGCTGCAGATACTTTAACTTTGTGATAGTTCACTCAGTTCCATAGATTTATATATATTTTTACACTGCAATTAATTTTTTTTTATAAAAATTTTTTTGTCCTAAATCTTGTGTAGTGAATTTCTAGTTTAAACTAATATTAAATCCTAGCTCAAGATAAAGAAGTACCTTTCTCCCCCCCCCTTTTAATTTTATATCCTTCCGACTCAATTAAAACACCCCCCCCCCCCTCCACCCCATCTCATATCGATTTACAATGTTTTCAAATCTTATCAGTTGACCAGTGTCTCCCCAACCTATAGGTAAAAATTTTAATTGTTATAAATTGTAAACATGTTTTTTTCTTTAAATAATTCTGTATTATATACATGAAAAATGCAACAAAAAAATTTATAATAGGAGCAAACCTGAGATTCTCAGGCTCCAGTGGGGTATCGGCGTTTTCAGATTGGTTGCCTATTTGTTGTACATGATTTGTTTAATACTACAACTTTTATACTTCCTTAAAATTGCAAATATGAATTTGTCATTTCACAGGGACGTTTTGAGAATTTGGAATTTGAATGTTTTTTTTTAAAAAAAGTTCCCTAAACTATACTAAGGGACGATATTTGTAAAAAATTCCATCGTAAATAACCACAGCATTAATTAACGATTAAATATCTATAAATATATCCAACTTATTTGACGGGAGGTTGGATTTAATGAAAAAGAAGTTGAATACGTTTTTTCCTAATTTTTCTCTCAGCCGGGGGCCACAATCTACATTAGCGAATTTGTTCGATTATTTGTTCCTGGCCTAACTTAAGTTCCTCCTTTATTAATTCCAACCTTTGATTGAAGTTAAAGAGCCGGTTTCAAGCAAGGAGCGTACTCTTGCATGGGGCGGACTCTCCCAGCAATTTTAACCATTTCAACACAATCTTAGACATAAAAAGCAATGTTTTGCCATATTCCGATATTTATTGATGTATTTTGATTTTAAAAACACATAATAAATGATCCGTCTCGAGTAATTATCAATTGTTAAATGATTAAAAAGGAAGACGACATTCACGAGGAAATAAGCTTTTTGCCTTTAACCCCTTTAAAATACAATAACTAAATACGTATTTTATGCATGTCAACTGATAAATTTTAATGTTTAAACATTGCCTATGAAACATTATGATAAAATGGTTAAAACTTTAGGGTCGAATTCGCCCCTTATTGTCGTTTTTTTCTTGTAGCAGGAATGCGTAAATCGGGCATGTCATCTTTGAATGGAGGGTTGCTTATTGTCACGATTACAGTCTTTTTTAAAAGTACTCTATTATTCTTCCCAATTATTCAAATTCCATATAAAGTGTTTCTCAATTCTTTAAAGTTTAATGGTGATTCATTATACTTATAATCAAAAATTTTACCTAAAATATAATAGCTTGATTGTTTTTGTACCGTATTTTGAAATAAAATGATTTAAGAGGTTTTAATACCCGATATGAGACAGAGGCAAGTTCGACTCCATACATCAAGTTGAATTATTCGTCTTGTCTACAGGCTTAGTAAACTAAGTCATGCCTTAGTTTCTTTATTGACGGTTAGTGGCTGGGTGACTTCAATTTAGACAATAACGAGTCTTGTCAGTCATTCTGGCATTTTACGTTTCAATGTTTTAATTGAAAATAAGCACCTGTTATCTCCAGGCTCAGTCAACAAAAAGTATTCGTATACAGCAATAGATACGAAGATATAATGAGAGAATTTTTTTTGCAAAAAAGATAAACTATTGTTGATTTATTTTGGTTTTGAATAAAGTTGTTAAGAAGAAGAAGAAGAAATAGTATTAAGCCAAACTCGTATTTAATTTTAATTATATTTAGAATAATATTGCAGAGCCCTTAAATCATTTTTTTACATATTTATATTTAAGTATCAATAAAGTATAATACAAATTAAATTTTAACTATTGGTCTTGTAGATTTGGAAAGGGTAGTCCAGGTACCATATTTCCTCCTATTCCAGGGCCCACGGAAAAACTATTCGCCTGCATCAAAGATTTGTTAACAAATATGAATTGTAATTTTTGTGGAGCAATATTTTTGGATGACAAAAAGATAATTGTTTAGTTTTCAACAAAATGCAAAATAAAACTTAAAATTCCGCCCCGCAAATTTTTTGTTTTTCAAAAAAATTAAAATTACGAGATTAAAACATTTGTAATATTACGCATAAGCTGGTTCAGGATTTTTTAAGAAATTCAAAATATTCACTCCGTTAAAAAGTTTAAAATAAAGGTGCTAACAAAATTTTTGAATAACTATTGATCATTAATTCATTTCCACCAGAGGTTAATTTAAAGAATAACGATACTTACTCACGTCATAAAAAACTGCCTGCGGAGTCAGGACAACAAAATTAAAATAATAGAGAAACAATGGAGAACAGGAGGAAAAAGATTAATAGAAAAACCTGATGAGAAGTTTGTCCTATTAATGAGATTGAATGAGGAAGAGATCCAACTCCAGGATGTGTTGATCTAAACATTGATGTAGATTAAACAACTGTTTCTTCAATCTATTGAAATTTTTTATTTTAAGAATAATTTTAAGAATAATGGACCCTCCATTAACAAAAGAGATCACAATTCATTTTCAGTACCTGGATCCATGGAGGAATTCCGGAGCTGGTAAAGATGGAAGTCCCACTAAAGGTTTACTCTGATCAGAGAATACAATATTCTCGGTAAAGGGGTGTTCTGATTCATATTCAGCCCGATTTTCAAGTTAAGAGAAAACCGATTAATCGTTAATTGTTTTTTAATATGATAAAACTATGGAATTATTTCAAAATCACAAAGGCAGAGATACTTACAACGAATTGAATCCATAAACAAATTTTAAGATATTCTTCAAGAAAATATGATGGACCACCCTCCCTCTCCTTCTTAAAAATAGTAAAAAATTTGGCACACAAAAAATGTTGTAAAACCGTCAATGAAAAACAGGAAAATCGGGGAGATTTGAATTTTACAAAGTACAAAGAAAAAATGGCGACTAAAAAGCAATATTTAAAATGCAGGTCGCTCTGAAAGCCTAGTATTTTGTATTCCCTGGCAATTAGCCCCCGGGGCCGATATATTGATCTCCGGGAAGATGGTGCTAAGGTTGAAGTTTACAAGGGACCCAGTGGCAGAGTTCTTGAGCCCAGGCATCTGGTGAAACGGTTGTTGGACACCTTTACTCATCATAGAGGCGGGGGCAGTGCAACCTTCATGAAGTTCAATCAATTAATCATAAAATTTTATTTTAAAAATTTATATAATTAACAAATAATAATTTATTCCTTTTTAAAAATTTATTTCTAATTGGGTATCTTAGAAATTTTTTAGATGCTAAATTTATTTCTTCTTTAATATCGGTACCTCCTTCAATCCCCCCCGCCCACAAAATATATACTATTTGGTGCAAACTACATAGTGTTTTATGTGATCAAAAACTATTTATATTTAGCATGTACGTACAAACTAAATACTGTTTTATCATTCAATGCAGCCTATTTGTTTTGGTTAAATCAATCAATCATTCTAACTCTAAGTCATGATCTATCAATCAATCAATCACTCCCCACCTGATGTTGGTATATGCCCGGTATGAGAAGTGTACACGTTCTGAGGTCTGTGCATAGGCCCTGAGGAACATGGATAGAACCCGGAGTGGGAGTGCGTCATGAAAGAATAGGCCATAGACTCGTCAGTGGGCGGGGTTAGGGTGGGTAGAGGAGGCAGGAAACTAGTGTCTAGAATATTCCCTGAGTTTAGTCCCCAATCTGACCGCTGGTTGGTCAGCTGACAGGCCAGTTGTTTAGAGCTTTTACTCTGTGCCGGCGCAGAGAAATATTCACGCCCACCAGCCAATCCTTCCTGTTCACAGGGTGGATAAAATGATATTTAATTCTTTTCTTTTAAAACTGAATTGAGTATAAACATTAAACAATCCATTAGTTCACAATTGGGTTATATTTTTCACTCCAATAAACGAATAAACCAATGGGGTATTTTTGTAAACCGTAATCTGATCCTTTGGGGTTGTATAAGGTTGGTCATGGCCAGTCCAAAATATTGACCCCTAATAAAAGAATTTATTTTAAAATATGGGAAATTATGTATGTTTATAAAGTAGGTAGAGAAAATATGTGCCAATAACAGCAACATTAGTTAAAATAACTAGGAAATAAGGGCATTTTTCAATCAATATTTTTTTTATATTTATGTACTTTAGTCCGCCTGCCTGTGGATTAAATATTCCAAGTTCAAAGGATGAAATATCAGTGGAGAAGAGGCCAGGAGAAGGACTGAGGGAGGAGAATGGAAGAGACCCAAAATGCTGGTTCATTTCATTACTCCAGGTTGTATTACTTCGACTTGAGCTTACACTACTCGTGGACATCTTCTCCAGGTAGTTGCTGACCTTTGGGCTCGAGTTCTTCACCGGAGAGTTTCTATACTTGTCATCTTTGTTCTCTGGTGGGATCTGCACCTGTGCTGTCAACAAAGACTCTGTTGAGTAATTGCTTCTGTTTCCACTTCGGCTTCTTCTGCTTCCACCTTTACCTCCCTTCTTATCCTCCTTCTCTTTCTTCTCCTCCGCCTTTCCCCGAGACTTTGTGGCAGAACTAGGTTTCTTAGCATTCTTTCTTTGGGTAGTATTGACAAGCTGTGTAACGGAGAAGGCAGCAGAGGTATCTGCCTCCACCTTCTCCATTACTGGGTCCATAAGCTGCTGCTGTTGCTGCTGCTGCGGTTGACGCTGTTTTCTGTCAATATACTGCTGTTGGTCAGTTTGGTATCTATAGTTCTGGTTGGGAGCAGCATAGTCCTTGTAATAATTCCTAAAGAAATATAGATATAATATGGATTGAGCTTGATTTCCATTAGAATGCACAAATTGTAATATTGGAAGTTAAATAATATTGAAAAGAAAAAGAACATTTAATAGTTAGTGGAATTAACTATTATGGGGAAGCATGAATTAATTTTTGAGAAACTTTCTAGAACTTTCTTTGTTCTTTCTTCTTTAAATATTTGTCCTGGGTAGAACATTAGAATTAACCTTGAATTGAAGTCCTGCAGGTTGGAGGGAGGGTAGGAGGAGGAGGATGAAGAGGAGTGGGTTGAGCAGGAGTATTTAGGATCCTGGTGGAAGGACGAAACATTCTTCATTTCGGTTACAGGAACATGGGAATAGGAATTAGAGTGATGTGGATAGGAGTTAGTTTGCTGGTTAGGTACTCCAGGTGCCCCGGGGACTCCCACCTGATGGTATTGGTAGTGTGGAGTCATATAAGTGTGGCGGGGTATGGAGTGTTGGGTGCCAGGGTGATAGGTAGTTGTAGGGTGGGAGTATTGTCGACTTTGATTGCCCCTGGTATCTTGGATCAATCTGCTGGCATCTTGGGTTCCACTTGTTGAATTTTGAGAACCCCTACCTCCTTCCTGAAGGAGTCGTTTATCATAGTTTTGACCTAAATGTTGGTTTGTGTACCCACTGTGTGTTATAGGCTGAGTACTGGGACTAGACTTCTTTTCTCCAGGTTTGGGTTTTGGTTCTGGTTTGAGATTAATGATTTCTTCCAGTTTGGTGGATTTCTCCTCTTTTGGTTGGCGGGGGGAGCGTAAATCCTTCCTAGATTTATTTAACGGAACAACAGGACTGCTGGGTTTGCATGAGAAGTCATAAACACTCTGTTGACCTGATCCAGAACAAGAAGGAGACATCTTATCCATCTTCTCTAAACTGTCCACCCATCCAACCTTTCTATCCATACTTTCAGCCCAACCAGATTTACGATCAAGATCTCCTCCATTCTCTAAACCAGAATCATCCTAAATCAAACAAAATCAAGGAAAAGCTTTGAAAACATATCAACGTAAACCCAAAAGGGTACTATTCAAAGTAGAAAATTAGACTGTCTTCAGGCTACAGTACTTTAAAATCTAAAACAACTGAAAGTTTGTTTGACCATATGTAATAATGGCAGCAGAAAGAAATGCTGCATACCTTTAGATCCTTAATATCTGTAGCTGTGTTTAATTCCTGGAGTTTGAGTTCTCTATCTAAGTCTCTTAGGGCCTGAGAAATCTCCTGTTGGATTCCATCATCCTAAATACAGACTTTCCAGCATTCTTTTTTTCTTTAATCTTTGCTTTTTATTTTATTTCATTTTATTTCGTTTAAACTTTTTTTTTCTCGTTCATCTCTGTTATTATCTGTTAATTTCTGTTCATTCCTGTTCATTCCTGTTCATTCCTGTTCATCTCTGTTCATTTCTGTTCATTTCTGTTCATTTCTGTTCATTTCTGTTCATTTCTGTTCATTTCTGTTCATTTCTGTTCATTTCTGTTCATTTCTGTTCATTTCTGTTCATTTCTGTTCATTTCTGTTCATTTCTGTTCATTTCTGTTNTCAGTTCTGTTCAGTTCTGTTCAGTTCTGTTCAGTTCTGTTCAGTTCTGTTCAGTTCTGTTCAGTTCTGTTCATCTCTGTTCATCTCTGTTCATTTCTGTTCATTTCTGTTCATTTCTGTTCATTTCTGTTCATCTCTGTTCATCTCTGTTCATCTCTGTTCATCTCTGTTCATCTCTGTTCATCTCTGTGAGAATCTCTGTTCATTTCTGTTCATCTCTGTTCATCTCTGATCATCTCTGTTCATCTCTGCTCATCTCTGTTCATCTCTGTTCATCTCTGTTCATCTCTGTTCATCTCTGTTCATCTCTGTTCATCTCTGTTCATTTCTGTTCATTTCTGTTCATTTCTGTTCATTTCTGTTCCTTTCTGTTCATTTCTGTTCCTTTCTGTTCATTTCTATTCATTCCTGTTCATTTCTATTAATTCCTGTTCATATCTGTTCATTTTTGTTCATTTCTGTTCATTTCTGTTCATTTCTATCCATTTCTGTTCCTTTCTGTTCATTTTTATCCATTTCTGTTCAGTTCTGTTCATTTCTATCCATTTCTGTTCATTTCTGTTAATTTTTGTTCATTTCTATCTATTTAATTATCTTTAATTTCTTTACATTACATTTCGTTTTATTTAGATTTTTTTTCTCTTCATTTCTTTTGTGACAAGAAAGCAAATTTATTTTCTACGCCAATCTTATCAGATAGGTCCAGTTAAATCTGATCTGAGCTTTCCTAGTTTCCTAACCTGCTCACAGTGCTTGGAGAGTAGAGGGAAGCTGGTGAGGTAGGTCTGTGACGGGGAGATATTTGACGAGGAGAGAGAGAGGTTGGAGTTGGATTTATCATCCTGACCTGTTACAATCTCAACCTAGAGATATAAACACTCAGTGTCAGGTGTTTGCCAAATCAGGGGTTGGAAATTCGTTGGCTGCATTATTATACGCGAGTTCTCCGGGACATCTGTTGTAATAGTTCGGTCTAATTCAAATCATTTTTAGAGTTATTCTGATCTAATTATAACCTGTTGTAAGAGTTCTTCTGGTCTAATTATAACCTGTTGTAAGAGTTCTTCTGGTCTAATTATAACCTGTTGTAAGAGTTCTTCTGGTCTAATTATAACCTGTTGTAAGAGTTCTTCTGGTCTAATTATTACCTGTTGTAAGAGTTCTTCTGGTCTAATTATAACCTGTTGTAAGAGTTCTTCCGGTCTAATTGTTTTCAGTTCTTCGATCACATGATCTTCCGGGTTCTAATCAGGAACAATTAAATAATTCGACAAAATTGATTGAACTGATAAAGTCAAAACTTTTGTAAATCTTGAGATCAAACATTGATCGCTATCTTAGGCAGACCTACGGATTAATTTAATTCCCCTTCAAGACCCCATAACTATCACATTAACTGAGCGATCAAACATTTATCCTCAAATCGAGATTAAGCGTTCAAGGTTAATGATACTCCACACAAAATTTTCGACCTCTGAAGAGTAATAAAAACATTAAAAATAAAAATCTTGCAATCTGGTATTAAATAAATTATAGAATTGTTCCTTGCTCATCTCTTGGCAGGTTTTATCCGGGGTAGGAGTAGAACTTGGAGAGAGGGTTCCAACCGAGTTCAAGCTCAGGACCCCGGGACTACTGGAGATATCAGGACGTGAACCTAAACATAGTTCTAGTTTAGGACTCCGGGACTACTGGAGATGGACGTGAACCTAAACATAGTTCTAGTTTAGGACACCAGGACTACTGGAGATATCAGGACGTGAACCTAAACAGAGTTCTAGTTTAGGACACCAGGACTACTGGAGATATCAGGACGTGAACCTAAACAGAGTTCTAGTTTAGGACACCAGGACTACTGGAGATATAAGGACGTGAACCTAAACAGAGTTCTAGTTTAGGACACCAGGACTACTGGAGATATCAAGACGTGAACCTAAACATAGTTCTAGTTTAGGACACCAGGACTACTGGAGATATCAGGACGTGAACCTAAACAGAGTTCTAGTTTAGGACACCAGGACTACTGGAGATATCAGGACGTGAACCTAAACAGAGTTCTAGTATCAGGGCGTAAACCTGAAATATTATTAAAGCCCCCTGAAGTCGTAGAACCTATTTTTTAATACCCCCCCCCCCCCTCTATCTACGCTCCTAGAATTTCAAAAATCTCGAATAAAAAGGGACGGCATACATACCTTGAAGTGACCCTATATTTATAGAGTTGCTTAATGCATATCCACAGAAGTACTGTTAAAAGCTGTGTGTGAACAAAATTAAAAATCAATGCTTTAAACTTTGAAAACTTGGAGAAATCAATTTTATTAGATAAAGATATAAAGGGTGCGGTTGACAGTCCTTGAAATAAATATTGTGTTTACCAATGTTAACTGAGATCTGACAAAGTGCTGGAATACTGTAACTATTCTTATTCTTCTTTTCTCCTCTTCTTAATATCCTCTGCTCATCTTTAACACACTTTCCTCTTCTCACCTCAATATACAATATACAATATACAATATACAATATACAATATACAATATACAATATACAATATACAATATACAATATACAATATACAATATATATATTATTAAAAGGGGCAAATACAGGGAGGTCTGGGGAACAATAGCGGGTGGGCCCCCTTGTTTTACCCATTTGACAGGTTTAACACCATTCTATTTTCTAAATATTAAAGGTAAAACATAAAAATCATTTCGAGAGTATAAACCATGCAAGGAAAGTGAATAATTATTTAAATCTGTTTTTTTCCAAACTAACTTCTGCATAAATAAGCGAGTAAATACTTTAGGGTCCGGCGGGGGAATACAGACTAATGCAAAAGTAATGATCATGATACCTCTACAACACAGTTATCCTCATTAATAGTCTCGTTGATCATATTAAGTTCATCATTATTCTCCAACAGTTTTCTACCGTCATCAATCACCTGAAAAATGGTATCTATCTATCAACTGAAATAAACCAATTTCTAAGGTTACAAGAAAACCTCGTCTTGTTAGTTAGATTTCTATAAATTAATGAGAGAATACATAAAAAAATATTTCTAAAATTAATTCTACGAAAAATAAAAAGCTTACTTGACTGTCGGCAAAAATATCTTGAGTGTAACTCTGCTGCCCGATGGACGGGGAATGCCTAACCTCATCGGCATGCTCTGAGTCATGCCTATTTTCCCTGACATGCTGCGTTCCATGTCCTTCATCTTCAGCATGCTGTGCATCTTCTCCTCTGTGTTCTGGAGCATGCCTTGAGTCATGAGTAAGTTCTGCACCATTATTTGAATCTTGCGCATGCTCAAACTGTTGTTTGATCTCAGCATGACCACTCCTTGATTCAGCTCCAGTTGAATCAGACTTTTGTTCATCATCAGCAGGCTCTTCTTCTTTTTGAGGAAGACGTTCATCCTCCTCCTCCTGCACTACAGGAGCGAGATCAGGGAGATCTTCAATAACCTCTTCAACCTGAATTAAAGAGAATTAGTTTAAGGCAAGGGTATAAATTTTCTTGAAATCTCATTTTTTATTTCAGAATATTATATATATTTATTTGCGTGGAGCTGTATATATTATATACCCTAGGAATGAGAAAGAATCTGTATATTTTCCGGTGAACTGTACTTTTTTGAAATCACATCTTGAAAAATGTTATTTAAGATAATGATCGAACTTGAAAATTGTGGAATAAATCGTAAAGCCGTCTTTGCTTTTTCTTTTAGCTCAGAAATTCCACTAAGGATTTTTTAGTTGAACAATGAACATTGTTGCAACAGATATATCTCTAAATATTCTTGTCAGCTTAGTAGCAAATTACAAACTCCGTATTCCGTAGCGTAGCGACATTTCGTAATTAGAAGAAAACCGACGAATAGATTTCCACTGTTTTCTGATTCTCACTCCAGTTTTCTAATCATCATTGTGTGTTCTAACTGCAAATTCATTCACTTTTGAGTCAATAAAAGGACAATTTAATTGAGTAAAATATGATTTGATGATAATGAGTGACACTAAAAATAATTAAAGACAAATCGATAAATCAATCAAAATATTTATGAATAGCATTTTAGTTCACAAGTGATGTCTTGTCCCCTGGCTAGCGGTTACCTGTTCTAACTGTAGTTGTACGTCAGGAAGAATATAATCATGCACTTCAGTACAGTTGGATAATTCTCCTCCACTGCTTTCCTGTACACTAGACAGTGCCTGTACATCACCGTTCTGTACACTTACACTAGGATTATGTTCACTGTCAGGCATTGGAGCTTGTTCAGTTGAATCATGTACATCTGGATTGGTTTGCTGGGAAGTACAGGTTGCCGCGGAGGAAGTCTTTAAAATTGAATTCTGTACATCGGTTAATGCATGAACATTAGAACCAGGTTCAGTTGGCTGTACAACATCATTAATATGTACTTCTGTCCTTTGTACATTTATTTCTTGTGCAGGCTGAACAGTAGTTTCTTGTACAGTTGTCTCCTGTACAGATGGTACAATGGCTTCCTGGGTAGGGTTGGATGAGGAGGATGGATTACTGCGGGGACACTTGACAACACTGGCAGGCGAGTCTTCCTTTAGTTTCCGTTTACGAGAAGTGTATGGTCTCTTAAATTAGAAATTATGATTAGAATTCATTGATCAATAAATAAACAAGGAAAAAAATCTATTAGATTAATTTAGATAATAGATTTTAACATGGATGGGAGCCCAATGAGAAGAAAAATATTAATAATTAAGTAAATATATAATCCTATTTATTTCATGAATGAACATTTTCTTCATGACATTTGTTAAAAAAGAAATCTAATCTTAAATTACATTAAAATTAATTCTGCGGAAGTGGCATTGAAAGAAAGGAACGGAAACGTCAACAATATGGTTTGCGGAATATAAGTGATAAATAATTGCTAGTTTTAAATAATATTTTCCTTGAACGAAATTGAAGATTAAGAGGTTAGTTCCTACCTTGTGTACAAACATAACTGAAGATTTTGAACCAGTATTCAACGTAACAGTAGACGTAGAACTACTTACTTGCATTGGACCTAAACAATAACATTTTTTCCTTATTAAATACCCCCTCTCCAGACACAGGCCCGAATTAGAATGGAATTACCTTTATTAAATGGAACAAGAAAAGTAAATGGGGAGGGCGCTAGCGGGGAGGGGCAGTGTGAATCTGAATAACTTATTGACTCACTGACTAAATAAATCAATAACTTATTGACTCACTAAATAAATAAATCAATAACTTATTGACTCACTTTCTAAATAAATCAATAACTTATTGACTCATTATCTAAATAACTCAATAACTTATTGACTCACTAACTAAATAATTCAAAAACTTATTGACTCACTATCTAAATAACTCAATAACTTATTGACTCACTATCTAAATAACTCAATAACGTATTAACTCACTAACTAAATAAATGAATAACGTATTAACTAACTATCTAAATAACTCAATAACGTATTAACTCACTAACTAAATAAATGAATAACGTATTAACTAACAAACAACTCACCTAGGTTGAATAAGTTTAGGTGCTATCACACTAGTTCCTATATAAGTATATAATATCAGCTTCAAGTCAAGGGTCCTAATTTTTTATTATAATTCGTAATTCAATTGGAGCAGGGGGCAGGGGGGGGGGGGAAAACAGAGGGGAGGAGAGTGTTGATCAGCGGACCCATAGAGCTGTGAAATAGGAAGACGACATTTAAGAAACTTATGTGTATTGGATGTTGTCACAGAGCAAATAGTTTCATCAGTTTCTTAAAATATCAACTTATTAATTAATGTAGATTTGTGTACACTGTACACTGTGTTTTCAAGTTCATTGGACTTCTTGAAATAACACTTGAGCAGTATTCTTCCTATTCCACAGTTTTGTCATTATTGTTTAATGTTTAACCTGTATTTTAAAAATAATAATCAGGCGCGAAGTGGAGGTTTAGCATATGGGGGTGAATTTTTTTTGTGCACCCCCCTAACGGTTGATGTGCACCCCCCTCCTAAAAAACCAGTATTAAGGAAAAATAAAGTTTAAAATCTATATTAATCTACCTGAAGGCTGACTATTAGTCATCTGACCATAATTACCAATCATTTTAAATGAAACCCCGAAAAAAAATATTGTAAATAAGATTAAGGTACAAGAAAGAGTTTGAGAAATAATCATAAAATGGACAAATTGTGACATTGTCGATTGATAAGAAAAGTAAAAAATCTAAATATATATGTAAGTTTACTGTTAAATGAATTAGAGCCTGCCTCTGGCTCTAGGGGGGCAAAGGGGGTACAGGCCCTCCCCCCACTACGCGCCTGATTATAATTAACAAGATTGACAAGAGAACCCTTTAAACCTTAATCTCATCAAGAATGAAAGAATATTTTTTTATTTCTCTCTGAAAAATTTATTAGTTTCAATCCCAGTGATTTTAATAGGGGAATTAGGGTTCGATTCCGGATTGCGATTTATGTATTTATTGACTTCATTGTGCTTGATGCATGAAAGTTAAAGGAAATTGTGAGAACTTTTCTAAATAGAAGAATGATCGCTCCCTCATTGTTGCACAGATTCAAGGTTTAAAAAGTCTCGCTAGGAATTGGACAATGACATGCCACTTCTAATATAAAGGGTTACTCTAAATTACGTCTAATGTCTCTTTAACTGGAATATATTACTCAGGGTTTCTAAAAACTATGTGAAGGATACTGGGCTAAGCGGATAAAATTCCTTGAATTTGCTGTATTTGAATAGGTCTAGGCTGAGACAGACCTCTCTCAAGCAATATCGACTTGTTTATCCCAACAGAACTAACTGCCTGGAGAAGAATTGGCTTCAACGATTGATTTATTGATTGGTTGACAAGTGAAGTTTGAAGGCTGGGTTGACTGTAAACCAAAATCTGTTGTACTGTCGAGGAATTTTGCACAGTTGGCGGATTTGGAGCAATTAGAGTATTTTGTAGAATTGGAGGATTTTGTCCAAAATGTTGACTAGTAGGCAATGAAGATTGCGTTGCGTTGATAATCTAAATCAAATTTAATAAATCGATAAAATTTCTATTCATTTTAAAATAAAATAAATAAGTTCTAATGTTAATTTATTTTGCTGTTTAAAAGACAAGTATTTTTGTATTTTGGGGTTAAACAGTAAATATTGTGGTTTGAAAAGTACCAATGACTTCAGACTTATAGATTTGCGAGCAAGCAATAAAATTAACAAATTTGAAGAAAATTCATATTTCAATCCGCCATGTTTTTTCAACACATGGAATAATAAATCAGCTGTTCAATTAGCCTTCGTCTCGTCTATTCGTAGTTTAAGATATTATCAAATCAGATCTCTACAAACTTTAAAACTTAAGTCTTGACTTCCAAAACTTTTAAAACAAAAACATACTTCTTATTCATTTAACAGGTTATTTTTTAAATATTCTACCATTAATTATATTTTCTGGCATTTATGAAGCATAGTTGGACAATGACATCTTTAACAGAATCTGAAAGTGCCACCTCCCCCCTCTCAAGACTTTTTTCTTATAAAACTAATTCCCGGCAAAAAAAAGAACACAATTTACAATATAATATTTACCATAGGGATCTTTGAAGAACAATCAGGGCCTCCAAGACCTCCAGAGCCTCCTAGACTTCCGAATTGTTCTGAATTTACATCAGTCTCCCGATTGGACTGAGATGCCTCCGAACGTGACTTATTCATAGGCTGACTTGAGACTGGAATTTGAGACTGAATCGGAACTAAAGTTTGAATCTGAGGTTGAACTAGAGTTTGAATCTGAGGTTGAACTAGAGTTTGAATGGGAGGTTGAACTAGAGTTTGAATCGGAGGCTGGTCACACATACGGTTGTTATTTTCTGAGAGTTGTTTCAGAATGGATTTAATTTCAACCGAACTAAAATTAGAAAACAATAAAAATCTGGAAAGTAATAAATTCACAGTATTAGACATCAGTATGAATTATGAATATGTACAACATTAACCTTAAATATACTAACCAAGGGTATATGTTTTGCAAAAAGATAATTGATCTTTCAAAAGTATTTTTTCTAATAGTATTTATGTTTTTTTTTTTTGGGGGGGGGGTTATTGATGAAATGGGAGCGATAACTGATTTAAAGGGGAGAAAATTGATTAAGTAAATGTTAAGTATTAAAATGGGTTAAAACTTAACCTTCAAATATCTTTTACCTTAATCCTAGAGTACCCCCCCCTTCCCCACTGGGACAAAATCGAGAGGGGTGGGGTAGGAAGGGGGTGATTTCTTAAAATTTATACTCTGCTACAAACCTAAGTAATAAGTATACACTACTGACCTAAGTTTATGAATATCATATTTCTGATATTTGAACTCGGTGTATGCAAGGATAACGTCTTTCAACTTCTCAATCTCGATCTTCATGCTCCTCAGCAGCTCCAGACTTCTCAAGCTCTCTCCCTTCTTCGAGGAAATAAACTCAATACTATTCGAGATTATCTCCTGTTTAGGCCACGGGTTCTCCTTCACCCAACCAGGAATATAATATTTATAGGATGGGGGGGGGGCCTGTAGTAACCATCCATTTAAAGAGGGACATGTCCGGTTCACAACAGAACTTTCTACATCTTTATCTGATCCATAATATTGAATACAATATAATCCATAATATTGAAGATAATCGATTCTGAAAATTTTAAAATCACTTGTGAAGAGAAAACACAGTAAAAAATAAAGAATATTAAGTTTCAAATACGCTTTTTAAAGGACCCATTAAATAAAACAAATCTCTGAAGTGAGGTACTTTATGCCAAGGGGTGAACACTGCNCAGATAGACCTCCTTCTGGAAAACAAGTACTGTTATAATTAAATGTAATATGCAAGGTTCCTTGTTGTAATTAGGTAGAAGGGATGCGAGCAGTTCAATCTTTATATTAAATCTATCTCTTCTGTTCTTTTCATACATTTTCAACATATCACCCTGAATATAGAAAATACATTTTCAACATATCACACTAAATATAGAATTTACACTTTTAACATACCACCCTTAATATAGAATATATATTTTCAACATATCTACCTAAATATTGAATATACATTTTCAACATATCTACCTATATATAGAATTTACATTTTCAACATATCTACCTAAATACAGAATATACATTTTCAACATATCATCCTAAATATAGAATACACACTTTCAACATATCTACCAAATATAGAATAAGGGTTGGAGCAACGAACTGTACAGAGAAGCAATTAACTGAGGGGGGAAGGGGGGGCTTTACAATGTTATTAGGATTCCTTAATAGTAAATTCTGTTATACCTTCTCATTACGTCGTGGTTTTCCTCTTCTATCGGCTTTCTTCTTTGTACCGTCGCTATCCGACGTCATATTAAAAATTGATATATTTCTGAAGAAAAAACAGAATAATTGGAGAACTCTTAAGATAAGTAATTCCCCCCCCCCTGCATTGTAATTTTAAAAATAAAACTTTAAAATAATGTGGCCTCGGCTCAGAAAGCGCCTTAACAATAGAATTTCTGTTATATACGTGAAACACGAAACAATTAATTATTTTGTTTTGTTTTCCTTAACTTTTGTTTTGTCTAAATTTTTACGAAGAAGAAATTAGTTTCTAAATCTGTACGGGGCATTTGCGCTTTATCAGTAAATATTCTTTACAAAAATAAAACAAAATATTTTTGGAAAATGTTTTCAAAGTCTTGAATAATAAATATTTGAAATTTTTTTAAAGAAGAAATTAAAATGTTAAAAATTAACAATGACTGTACGCATGCGCTGTTGTTCTTGTTATGTTTTTGACACAGCTGACAGCAGACTTAAATAATTAATAATATATTCTTAAAAGTTTAAAATGTCGCACAACGGGTGCCACCGGCTTCCAGGGTTTTCACATTTTGACTTTCCTCTTTCAAGCTTAGAGCTCAAATTCTCATCTCAGGTTTAAATATTTATTATTTAAGAATAATTGGCAAATCCTATTAATCATCATTCTAAACAAATGATGGGTAATTTCCTAGAGACCAATTTTACGGACCCCCCCCCCTCCTATCAATTTTGACATGACTTTTTATCGATTTTTAAGTAGTTTTAATAAAGCGCTCGCCCAAGAAAGTGTCCTAACCTAACCTAATTACTACCTAACCCTAAATATATACTAATTCAATAGAAATTAAAGGTCTGTACTGGTCGGAGCGCTCGGCCCCTGGGTCTGTCATTTCCGCTGCGCTCGGTCTAGAATTTGTCCTGACCTAACCTAACCCCGAAATAATACAAATTAAATAATTTTTAGGTTCTCAATTCTAACACGGGTCTGGATCTCTCAATAGTGAACGGATTGGATTTGACAAATTCTAATTATGAGGTTAGTAACTTAGTATTGATAATAATCTGACAGATTATGGTTTCATAACAGCCAGGGGACAGGGGGATGTAAAAAGGATGATCGATTCATAACTTTTTTAAATGAGCTAACCACCCCCCTGCAGAGGTTCATAGTAATTAGATATTGAATTGGCTTTATGTCAAATTTTAGTTGAAAAACTATTTTGATATTCCAGGGGATGGGGGCTCAACTAAATCACCTTTGGTGAATCTAGATTTATGAATATTTTCCATTTTTGATAATTTTATTTTATTGAAGACTTTTAATTTTATCTTTTTTATTCAGGGCTTAAACTTGAGCAGTAATGGAGGTGGTCAATCTACGAGAAATGAAAACAATTCTCAGCAACAACAATCAGCTCAGGTAAAGTCGTCGTCGTATTTATCAATACGTGAAGACGACTTTCTATCTCAAATTTGATTTCTACCAAGCTTTCAAACAGAAACACTTAAACATTCAAACTTGAACTAACTGTGTCTCTTTGTTTACTTGTAAACTTGTAATTTGAAAAATGCCTCTCAGAGATAAAAGCATTATTAATAAAAAGTCGTCTTCATTGTGTTGATATAATCGACGAGCAGTGAAATACAATTTCTTAAATTAAAAAATTTGCCCAAAATATAAAATAACCAATATGGATTCCTTTTAAACCTGAATATTGTGCATGTTTAGCACCTTTTACATGATTTTTAATCTTAAATATAATTCTTCATTTTCTTGGTTATAATTAAACTTAATTAATTAAAGTTTTCAGATTTTCAAGGAAAAATACACATTACACATTACTTACTTTATTTAAACACAAATTGTTTGAATAAACATACATTGTAAAGTTTGAAGATATTAAGTAAGAAACCGAACAAAAAAAAGAATCATCAATGCTTAAGATTATACTGGACATATTGTAAATGTACTGAAAATGTACAGTGTAAAAAAACACAGTTTTAACAGTTCAGAGGCATAAATTTCAACAGAAATATTTTATTACTTTATCTTTTAATCAATATTTTGTGCTGTTTCATATTTTAACAGTTTTGTAGTATGCATAACTTTTAATTTGCAATACTTACATTAACGACACTTAAGAATCTATTAAAGATCTATATGGAAAATAGTTTTATTTTATTTTTTATTAAACCCTACAAAGCTTAGCTCATGAATTGCATTATTTTGCATATTTATTTTTTCGACTGAAGATGTACAAACCTGATGATAAAATTACTAAGAGGTAATTTTGGTTAGGTTAACATCGCTACTTGCTATGATATCGGGTTTGAAAGATATGTATAATGTAACATTTAATCCCTTGATATTGTTACAATCCCAGACATAAATCCTAGGGAAATCAAGATCAATCGTTGCCCCCCATCTTTGAGGGTTAATGCAAGACTTCACTTTCATTCCCAGTACCAGTTCATAATTTACCCAAACCTCTCATCTTGTGTATAATATCTATCTCTCAATGTCTTGAATAAGTGGGTTTAACATTACACATTTTATTGGTACAAATATATCTGTTAATATCTATTTATATTAAATCATATTCCATATATTTGTGGAGTCCCTCAGCGGTAAAACAAGCCTCCACTAACTCATATATGAGGAAGAGTCCCTCAGCAGTGAAGTAAGTCTCCACTAACTCTTATATATGAAGAGTCCCTCAGCGGTTAAGCAAGCCTCCACTAGCTCTTATATAAGAAGAGTCCCTCAGCGGTTAAGCAAGTCTCCATCCTAGCTCTCTACAAATCTGCCCCTGATCTCTAGTCTCCACAGTATCTGCAACTTCCACAGTATCTGTAGTATCCTCCATATCTGCAGTATCCACATATCTGCAGTATCCTCCATATCTGCAATTCAAGCCCTCTCGGAGTCTCCAGTGTTTATAACCATAGAAACACCTAGAACATGGGAGTCTGTGGGTAGTTGAACCAGCTGTATATAGGTGAGACTACATTTCTCTGATTCTCTTGTCTGTTCTGTAGCTCTAGTGATCTTCTGAGTCTCCAGTGTTTCTAATCATAGAAACACCTGGAATATTAGAGTGTGTGGGTAGTTGGACTAGCTGTGTTGAGGTGGAACCACATATCTCTGATTCTACTGTAAACCTGAGATATCTATCTCATCAATGGATTATTCCTCTGATCTGTTGTAACCTGGGATACCTGTCTCATCAATGGTTTATTCCTCTGATCTGTTGTAACCTGAGATATCTGTCTCATCAATGGTTTATTGTATTCCTGAAGATATGATCATGTAAGATATAATCATGTAAGTCCACATGCTGTAAGCCTTCTGAGAGCTGTCCATGAAGTGCCCGTCCCCCAGCCTTGGTTGAACAAACGGAGCTTGGCTCATACGTCTGTTCTACTCAAGGATCTGGGGTGCACTGTCCAATCTTAATGAATCAGTTCAGGTTAATTACTCTGCTCTGATTCTAGTAGGTTACCTCAGGTATATAGCAAGAGTTGAAGATTAGAACAAAGGACCACGCCTTTAAATATTACAATAACCAAATAGATTCTAGTACAATAGATGGCAACGTAGAATTGAATTTGTACACTTTAAGCACAGCTGTATTCTGACGTCACAAGTGTCCATTCAGTTTTTGTGTCCAAAAAGATGATCAATAATAGTAATAATTTTGAGATAAAGTGCTTATTTTTCGGTAAATTAAGTGCAATTTTGTGTTCTTTATTTTTAGCTTTTACACTTTTTATTTAATCTTGGAAAACATGCCAACTGATGTGAGAAAATGTCGTTTTCTTTGTTAAATTGACCCTTGTGAAGTCGTGTCTAATTGGATCATTTCTCTGTCAATTTGGGTAAAACTAAATTTTTTATATAATACCAAACAACGCACTTACTCTAATCTTATAAATAAAAATTATGAAAAATTTCCAATTACTCTTTAATGAACAACATCTTTAAAAATTGAAAAAATTGATTAAAAAGTTTCAAGTTGTGTTATGAAATAAATTAATTTGTTTTGATCTAAACTGAATATTTTTAAGATTTCCAATCGCAATCTTGAATCCGTGGCCAGCACTTCTCAATCCGCCAATCCCCAAGCTGCTCAGCAGCTCCTGGAATCTGGAGGAGCTGCATTTTCTCAGCAGCTGCTTGGGTCTGGGTCCAGCTGCTCCCAGGGTTTAGAAGGGAGCTGCTCAGATGAAGCTGAAATGGTTTTGAACCTTAGTACTCAGATTGGATTAAACCTTACCAGGAAAACTATTTTAGAATTACTTCTTTTTAAAGTTTTGTTAGAAAATCTATTTCATGGGAAAATTAATATTTAATTTTCCATTTCACTGAATAAATTTGTTTAGGGAAGTCATTTTCTGAATTATTTTTTTTTGTGAATAATTGAAGTTGAAGGGATTTTAGAAATAGATTTTAAGGATGGTTGGTGAATTTTGATTCAACGAATCCCCAAAAATATGATTTAAAAAAAATTACTTTATGAAAAGGAATTTCTTAAAAAGCTTTTATTTTGCTGAATGGTTTGTTTTAAGAATTAAGAATTTTAAGAAATTTTAAAAAATCACAACAATTTCAGCACAATTAGAATTTTCAGACATTTCTAAAGAAAAAATTCGATTAAGTCTGAATTAGATTTTAGGCCTTGTTTCCCTTTTATAGGTAATAAAAAATCCTGTGTTCAGTAGAATTAAATCTTGTTATCTTAAGATTTTGGTTTGTTGAGATTTTTTTAGTGTAATCAAAAGGGCTGGGCAAAGGTTCGCTAACGAAACGAAGGGTTTCGAAAATAAACGGAAGAGTCCATTAACGAACGGCAACAACCGTTATCTTTTAAATCATTAACGAAAGGGATAAGCTGTTTTGAAGAAAAGAATAAACGGTTGAAATCGAATTTTTTTTAAACGGTGAATTGCACTGAACTTGTAAAAAAAGCAGTTGTTAAATTTTTTCCCTTAACGCCGTTAATAAAATCAAGACTTAAAAACATGGAAAATACCTTTAATGAAACGAATTTATGTTTCCTCTAGAACTAACAGCTACCTAAGATTTTAGTTTAAAAACGGTTGAACTAGCCATTAACGAAACGGCTTGAAAAAGTTGGAAAATGCCCAGCCCTAGAAATCAAGTGTGTAGGAAGCAATAATATCATATTTTTCAGTCTTATTCTTACTTGAACAGGATGAAAACTTATTGGCCTAACTATAAAAAATTAAAATTGGTTTTGATAGGCCTGGGCAAACTGTTCTTGACTATACAGAGATGCTGGGAATAGATCAGGATACATCATTCACACATTCTCTTCAGGTTAGAATAGATCAGGATACATCATTCACACATTCTCTTCAGGTTAGAATAGATCATTCACACATTCTCTTCAGGTTAGAATAGATCAGGATACGTCATTCACACATTCTCTTCAGGTTAGATTAGATCAGGATACATCATACACGCATTCTCTTCAGGTTAGAATAGAAGAGGATACATCATTCACGCATTCTCTTCAGGTTAGAATAGATCAGGATACATCATTCACACATTCTATTCAGGTTAAAATAGATCAGGATACATCATTCACACATTCTATTCAGGTTAGAATAGATCAGGATACATCATTCACGCATTCTCTTAAGGTTAGAATAGATCAGGATACATCATTCACACATTCTCTTCAGATTAAACCAGAACTTATCTATTAACAACCTGTGCATAACATTGGTTTGGAATATATAACAAACGAATTTTAAAGACTGAAATGCAACGATCAGTTTGGTGATGTTTGTTGTTAGTTTATTAAATTTTTAAAAAATCAGCTTATTTTTTTGTTATTAACATATAATGGAATTGTTGATATTTTGGCAAATACTGATATTCGTTAAGGTATTTTTTGTCTTGCATTATTGATTGATTTTGTATGTTGATTGATTTATTGATTGATTTATTGATTGATTTTTTATGTTGATTGATTTATTGATTGATTCTTCTTCAGGAGACAGAGTTCGAGTATTACAGTGGTTATTATGAAAACTATTCCCAGCAGATTCTTTGTACTCCGGCATCTACAGATGAGCAGAGGAGCTCACCGCTTAATCTTGAACACAGGTAGCTTGATTATGAACACAGATAGCTTGATCTTGAACACAGATAGCTTGATCTTGAACACAGATAGCTTGAT